GCACTGATAACCATTTAGAAGGGACTGCAGAGGGTAATATGAAGACCACCCTAAAACAAAAGAAAGCCTTTTCAATTTCTAAGTATTATCACATTTGAACACCTTTCACAAAGGCAGAGATAATTGTGCTTAAGGAGGTTCCCCCCCCCCCCCCCAATTGGTTGTGAGGCTTGAACTCTTGGCCTGGGTGCTGTCCCTGAACTCTTCAGCTCAAGGCTAGTGCTCTATCACTTGAGCCACAGTGCCACTTCTGGTTTTCTGGTGGTTTATTGGAGATAAGAGTCTCACAGATGTTCCTGCCCAGGGTTGGCTTTGAACTGTGATCCTCAGATCTCAAGCCTCCTGAGTAGTTAGGATTATAGGCATGAGCCACTGGTGCCCAGCAGAGTTTTATATATCTAATATAGATCCATTTACTAACTATGGTCTCCTTTAGAATGTCATTTTTGATATTTTCTAAGAGAAAAATGAAAGTGCACTCCCAACTTTGAAGTAAGGCACAGTTTTGGGTTTACAATCTTAATTACCAATTCTCAGTATACTAAGATTAGAAGAAGCAAGTAGCCTTTATATATTAAAAAAGATCTTATCTGTTGGATGCAGTGGCTCAAGCCTATATAATCCTAGTTACTTAGTGGGTGGAGATTTGGTTCATCTCAAGTATCAATCAAATTCAGAGAAGCACCAAAAAGGAAGGTCATGGTTCAAGCTAGGCTGGTCTTCAGTTTAAACCCTAGTATGGCCACAAAAACAAAGACATCTTGTCCCTTGTCCTACAAAAGCATCATCATTAAACTATCAGTCTCTTGAGTGAAAACCTTGCTATGTCCTTGGAGTCTCTAAACCAACATTACTACAAACTCTAAAGTTACTAACAACTACCACACATAATCTAGCAGTCAAAAGTGAAATATATTTATGTGCTTATAACAGTAATATATTCACTAAGAAAATAATAAAAGTTTTATGAATGTTTTCCTTACTGTGCTATAACTAAGGGCGTTATAGTATGCTAAAAAGTATTAGAACAATCTTGTTAATGTGTACCATGGTCCTAAATGGTAAGCCCACCTTCAGAGATTTGTTTTTATGTTACCACGGAGGCTGACCTACCAAATTATGGGACCAAGAATGTTACAGGGCTGGGAAGGTGGCTCAATGGTAGAATGCTTGCCTTGCATGCATGAGGCCCTGGGTTCGATTCCTCAGCACCACATAAGCAAAAAGTAAAAAAAGCCAGGAGAATGTTACAGAATATTTGCATATATTTCAGTTGGTAGGCATCTTTAATCTTATAAAACCAAAACCTATTTTTTTCCCTCCGGTTGTACTGGGTCCTGGTGCTTGCTAGGCGCTACTTCATAATTTCAATGTCAGACAATAAAAACAAAGCTGTTAAAATCACTAAAAGTATGCAATAACCATTTTTGTTAGGCTCAAAAAAAAATAAAGGGCTGGGAAGGTGGCTCAGTGGTAGAGCACATGCCTTGCATGCCTGAGGCCCTGGGTTCGATTCCTCAGCACCACATAAGCAAAAAGAAAAAAGCCGGAAGTGGAGCTGTGGCTCAAGTGGTAGAGCGCTAGCCTTGAGCTGAAGAGCTGAGGGACAGTGCCCAGGTCCAGAGTTTAGGTCCCATGACCGGATCCCCAAAAAAAAAATAAATAAAAAGAAAAATAAAAACAAAAGCCTCCATTTTAAGTATAAATGTTCTTGTGTAGTGTTCATTTTTAAAAATCTAATTACAGAAATTCAAAAGTAGATCAAACTGATTATCATATGATGCTCTGCAAAACTTAGTGTCTTATATTTAAATAGTAACTTTTCCATTTCTCCTCATGGACTACAACTAATACCCAAACCAAGACTAACCCTGAAGTAACTTGCTGAGAGGTCCCTGCTTATTTTTCTATTTTTACAATTCCTTACAACACAATCTTGATAAGTTTCCTTAAGCTACTTTTGTTGTTTTTTGTCTTTTTCTGGTACTGGAATCAAACCTAGAATGTTGTACTTGCTAGGCAAGCATGGGGCCATACATCCCAGCCTACTTTTGGACTTTTACTGTGTAATAAACCTAACTTGCAACCACCACAACACTCATTATTTACTCATTCTATAGCTAGCTTAAGACCCTGGGGTTTACGTGTAAACTTCCCAAGAGTATACAGGATATGAAAGTTTTTAGAGAACCAATTTCTAAATGCTCAACTTACACACACACACTTCTAAAACTGGTCTGTGAAGGTGAGGTTGAGGTACTTTCCTTTCTCTTCCACCTTCATTACTTCCTTTCTTATACTTTACAGAAAGACATTCACACAACCCCACTTTATACCTTGCAAGGTATTTTAAAAATACACTTTCAAAATTACATTATTTCTACCAGTTGCATACAGATTACTGTAATTTAATCCAAGGGAAAATTTTAGCTCTTGAATTCTTATGTTCATATTAAACAGAAATATATAGCTATATGTACGTATGTATATATGTATAAGTGTATATGTGTAAACACAGACATATATTGGACACAGAGGAGTTAATAGGGGAGATTAGTAAAAACTTTTTAACTATACAATTATATTGATTAGAATATATTCTATGAGAGAAATAAAATGGAAATAAGGGGAAAAGCAATGGCTAAGAAAGGTTTGTTAAAAATAGATGACTATATAAATTCACTTTATATTCTATTTAAAATGTAAATATTTACAATATGGTCAGAAATTCTATATATAAACTTGTAATATACATTTAAATATACACATAAGAAGTAATCAAACTTCCACTGTGTAGAGGTCACTGGGAACAATGAAGAATTAAACTGGAGAGAAGGAAACTAAGAACCCATTTAGGAGATATTTTGTAGTCTAGATAAGAAGGTATTAAGACCTAGGCTAGAGAAATGGAATGGTAAATACAGTATAGAACAGACCCAATATGTGTAAAGATACAACATCAGTGGGGATAAAGAAGATGATCAGTTCAAGAAAATTTAAGGGAACTTTCTGAATATGTAATAAATAATGAGACAGATAAAGTCATGGAGTGACCACTCACTAAGATAAGTAATATAACAAGTCTGGAGGAAAAGTGAGTTCAGTTTTGCACATCTAAATTTGAGATGTCTGTCTGACTACCTGGGTGAAGATCAACCCACACAGCTCTTATAGAAATCAATCTAAAATACAAGGAACAAAAGGTCGTAGGTAGAAGAAGCCTAATTTATGGATATAATTATGTACGGGAATAGGGAGAAGAAAAGGTGGCACCAAAACTGAGGAAAAAGATGTCTGCATAGACTTCAATAGGTAACATTTAATAATGAATGGTTTTCAGTGCCTACCACATAGAATATTTGTGAATAGGAGGAAGAAGAAACCAGAGGAGCCCAGGAAAAAAAAAATCAGTCATAAAGGGTGAATAGCTTTCCAATTTATCAGAGCAGGGTGCAATAAAACTAAGGTGACAATGCTACAGAAAGTTAACAATCACTGTGCACTGCTGCCATTCCTGACGAGGGCAAAGTTACTCAAAATTACAGGAGAGACAGAGAAAAAAGCCATTTTGAGTGTAATTACCAAGAGGGAAGTAAGGATGGTACAGTTTTAGACGGGGCACTAAAAGTTAAAAGACCAGTCAACATTTCAATATCCTTTTCATACACCGACTCCCTAAACAACAAAATGTTCTCAGATTCTTTTCTTTTTGTTGTCCACGTGGTTTCAAGGGGGAAGGAAGACAATTGGGTATAACAGATCTTTAAACGTGCAAGATTTCATTTCTATACACGTTAATCTAGATCGTTAACTTCTTTACTAGAGATTCAAGTTGGTGAAACCCAAGCCCGAGCTTGTCTCTTGAATTGCCAAACGTTTTAACCTAAGAAGCCTAAAGGACTGTAGAAAATGAGTTGAATTTGTGCACAGCACCACGAGGCTGTCCAAAGACACTCCGTGAAGTAGAAAACAACATACTTTGATTCCATTCCTCGACTACCTCTGGCAAGGAAAAACATCTGGAATAATTATAGTTCAATCTATTAACAATGGTCACTGGGGGCGGGGGCGGGGAGAGGTTCTCAGCATCTGTCACTCTGTAATTGGGAAATTTTTTTTTATGACCAGTGGTGACCGAGGGGGGGGGGGAGGGGGAGATTTTGACGCTGCTAAAAGCAGATGTCTGGTCTTCTCCGCAGGAACAGAGTTCCTGAACAGCGAGGTCACGGTCACGGATGTGTGCAACAGCAAATAATAAGGATCACTAAGACTCTACAGCGATCGCACGAATACAAGCCGACGATCTCACAGTTATTCCGAGAACGCATCCGCCCCCCCACCCCCAAACTCACACACCCCTCCATGCATTTTCTAGCTAACGCGCGATATTGACGTAAGCAGTGAGGGGCCCGGGAGGCCAGTCAACTCCACGTCCTTCCTTCGGCCTACACGACTAGTTTTTAAAAGTCCGATTGCGATTAAAAAGTGTCCGGAGGGAATGGAGGAAGAACTTTTCCCAGTAATTTCGCTAACATTAACTCTTGCCGCCTGAGAATTCGGAAGGGCCGGGAAATGGATGGGAGTCGGCCCGGATCCCAAGTGTTTTTTTTGGGGGGGGGTGAGAGTGGGGGAGGTGAATCCCGCCAGCCACGAGCATCATTTAAGACCGTTACTCACCATTCCTCGAGACGCCAAGCTGAGGCTGGCGGAGTACCGAGTTGAAGAGCATCTGGACCAGGAACAAAAAGGCTCAGCTGAGAAAAAAAAGCCGTGAAAATCGGCCGCCACTTTCGGTGGGAACCGTGGACTGAGCTCTCCGAGGCACGACCCGTTAAGAGCCTCCAACTCCCGCCACTGTAAGCCCCGGCCGCCAAACTCCGCGCCAAACTGACGTCACGCCCTCTGATTGGCTCCCACCGCTGCGTCCGGGCGCTTCTGAGTCACTTCCCCCTTTGCGTCCCCGCCTTCTTTTTGCTCAGCCGCGGGAACTCAGGGTTCAGAAGCTCCCTGAGCGCCTGCGCGGGGGGCCCGCGGAGGCGCCTGCGAGCGGCGGGGACACCATGACGCATGCGTAATACAGCTTGACAAAGCGCGGAGGAAAAATCCGCGAGACGGCGCCTGGAGAAGATGGCGGTGTGGAGGGAGAGTTTGCAATCTTTCTGACTAGGCTAGTGGAGGAACTATTCGGGTCATGGCGTCGAACTCAACTAAGTCTTTCCTGGCAGATGCCGGGTATGGTGAACAGGAACTGGATGCCAACTCTGCTCTCATGGAATTGGACAAAGGTATTGGAAAGAGCGGGCTGAGCGGGCGGAACGCGTCGTGGGGGGGGAATGGCGCCACCCCGTGGTGGTGGCCTCGGGAGGGTGCGGAGACGCATGCGCGGAGGTTTGCTGGGCGAGGAGGGTTTTGGCGGCTCCGGGAGGTTGCGGGCAGATTTCGGGATTGGTTCCCCACCAGCCGAACTAGTGGCGATCGCTCGTGAGGAGCCCGTTTTGACCACTGGAGGGCCCAATATTCCAGTTTCTCAAACAGTGGCGAGTGGTTAAGTTTTCTGAAATTGCTAGGTGGTGAAATTATTTTTTCTGGACCTTCATTTGAGACGAAGTTTTCGACCAGTACCGAAGAATCGCTTGCACTTTATAGTGTGTTTTTGCTTTTCTTCTGTGTCTGTTAACCTGAGATTTACAAAACAGGTTAAATACGGTGGAGGCCGTCCAAAAAGATGCGCATTTTGCAGACAAGTTCCACGAGTTCGCCGTGTAGGGGCGGGGGGGGGGGGCGTGCGGGTAGAGCTGGGGAGTTAGAGAGAGGTAAATTTTAAGTTCTGCTGAGTTTGTCATCTATAGACAAGAAATCCAATTTCAGGCTTAGTGTCTACAACGTGAGTACAATACCGGGCTGGCAAGAGTTGTAAGTATTACATAGCATAATGGTACGCAAAAGATGTATTTATTATTAAGTATTGAAGAGCTCGACCTCCATGTTGTATATAGGAAGCAAGCAGGGGTATTTATCAATAAGGAACTCAAGTGTTCATATGAAACCTTTTTTTCAATGTACTTAAAGGATCTTTATTGTATGAGCGGACCGTTTTATCACCTGGTATACAGTTAGTTCTATAAAGCTGGTGTATGATGGCTTTCGTAATGTATAATGAAGAGCTGGACTAGAAGTCATAAGGATCTTTGAGCCACTTCTTGGTTCTCTGACTTGGACAATGCCTGTTGATTTTTTTTTTTTTTTAATTTGTGAACATACTGTACAGAGGGGTTACAATTACATGGGCAGGATAATGCATACATTTCTTACCAAGCATTGCAGCCTCCTCCTTTGTTTACCCTTCACATCCCTTCCCAGCCTCCCCCCTCCCCCCCATCCAATCCCCCCCCCCCCCCCACCGACGTTGTAAAGCTCGTTTTCGACATGACAACTTGTACTTCTCATTGTTGCAACAGGTCCACCTGTATCCTTAAACGTCTTGTTTTTCCCCATCTCCTCCCCAAGTTATACTGACATCAAATATAGTGAAAGCAGGGGTTATACTGTGGGGGAGAGACATACAAAGCAACAAAAAAATAATCTTATAAATGCGTTAGAAACACATGCATGAAAGAAAAAAACATTAAAATACATGTGATTTTTTTTTTTTTTTTTTTTTTTGGTCAGTCCTGGGGTCTGAACTCTGGGCCTGAACGCTGTCTCTCAATGGTAGCACTCTACCACTTGAGCCACAGCACCACTTCTGGCTTTTCTGCTTATGTGGTGCTGAGGAATCGAACCCAGGACCTCATGCATCAAGGCAAGCACTCTACCACTGAGCCACCTTCCCAGTCTCTTGAGGTGTTTTTTGTTTTTTTTTGGTTGCAGTACTTGTATTGGGTTGGTCTAGGTAAGTGTTCCTGGGATTTTTTTTTTTTTTTTTTCCCTTGGGTCTGGTGGTGGGGCCTGAACTCTGGGCCTGGGCGCTGTCCCTCAGCTCTTCAGCTCAAGGCTACCTCTCTACCACTTGAGCCATAGCGCCACTTCTGGCTTTTTTCTTTTTGCTTATGTGGTGCTGAGGAATCGAACCCAGGGCCTCAGGCATGCAAGGCAAGCACTCTACCACTGAGCCACCTTCCCAGCCCAATGTTCCTGGGATTTTGTCTTGTTTTAAGCACAAATATTTATTGACGGAACAAAGAATACGATATTCATGGGACTATAGGCACAACTGTGGATTAAAACAACTTGCTGTACATCTGAAGGGAAGGAAAGCCATAATTTTAGGAACTTTGTAAATCAAACTTCTGAAGTACTCTCTAACTGATGAACATCAAACAGTTCTTTCCTTTTTTATTTTTTATTACTTTTTTTTGGTGGTGGGGGGGGGGTCCAGTCGTGGGGCCTGAACCCTGGGCCTGGGCGCTGTCCCTCAGCTCTTCAACTCAAGGCTAGCGCTCTACCGCTTGAGCCACAGCGCCACTTCTGGATTTTTTCTTTTTTGCTTATGTGGTGCTGAGGAATCGAACCCAGGACCTCATGCATGCAAGGCAAGCCCTCTACCACTGAGCCACCTTCCCAGCCCCAGTTCTTTCCTTTTATACAATTCCCCAAATCAATGATATTCTTTCTTTCTTTTTTTTTGGTCTGATCGTGGGGCCTGAACTCTGGGCCCGGGCACTGTCTCTCAGCTCTTCAGCTGAAGGCTAGCGCTCTACCACTTGAGCCACAGCACCACTTCCGGCTTTTTTCTTTTTGCTTATGTGGTGCTGAGGAATTGAACCCAGGGTCTCATGCATGCAAGGCAAGCGCTCTACCACTGAGCCACCTTCCCAGCCTGATATTCTTTCTTAAAGAATTTCTCATTCCTTTATACTTGAGACAGTCAGCCTATTTTTTTTTGTACCTATATCTTTTCAGCCTGATTTTTTTTTTCTTATCTTTATTTTGAGCAATTTCCTTCCTAAAAAATAGTTTAAACATCTTGGATAGCCTTCCAAAGCAAAGAAACAGGCAAGCAAACAAGCACTAAGTCAGAAAGTCAGTCAAGGTGAATAGTAAACTAAACCAGCTTTGGCAAAACAGTTACTCTGGCTCCCTCAAAGACCTGGAATGCCACATTTAGGTTGCTCCACTAGTGCCAAATCTTGTTTGTTTCTTTTTCTTTCTTTCTTTTTTTTTTTGCTGGTCCTTGGGCTTGAACTCTAGGCCTAGGTACTGTCAAGGCCAACACTCTACCACTTCAGCCACAGCACCACTTCTGGCCTATTCTGAGTAGTTTATTGGAGATAAGAGTCTCATGGACTTCCCTTCCCTGTCTGGCTTCAAACCAGGATCCTCAGATCTCAGCATCCTGTGTAGCTAGGGTTATACGTGCGAGCCATCAGCACCTGGCTCCAAATCTTGTTTCTAAAGGATTTGCAGTGGTCTACACTAGGAACTAGGAAGGAAATGTAACCAGATATTTCATGATACAATACATACAATGCTTTAGACTTGCATTAGGACCTGACTGTGGCTTCCACTATTAGCATTTATCAAAGGTGAAATTCGTAAAGAATTTTGTATAAAATTCCAAGACAATCTTTAATTTTAGACTAGGATTAGTTAGGCACTTCTATAACACTAGTCATACTTACTTCATAGAGAAGTTTGGTTACTGAAAGCTGAAAATGCAACATTCCAGAGACATTAAGTAAGAATAGATAAAAATTGCCAAACCGCGAAACTACTCTTCCAAGTAAGAAGGATATTGATAGGCATAGCTTTGGTGCCAAGTAGAACATAGGAAATTTTGATAAGACAAAAGCTATAGCCACAGGTGTGGCTCATGCTTGTAATCCTCTCTGCTTAGGAGACTGAAATCTGGAAGCTTGAGTTTCAAAGTCAGCCCAGAAGAGTCCAAAAGACTACCATCTCATTCATTGGCAAGAAGCCATACTGGAGGCATAACTCAAGTGGTGGACCTTCAACCATGAGCAAGCAAGCCAGTTGAGGGTGTAAAGTTTTAAGTTCAAACCCAGGTTCAGGAGGAAAAAGAAGGCAGAGTGAGAGGGAAAGCTGAAAGGCTCAAGTGGGTGGTGGGTTGGGTGGCAAGGAAGTAGGAAGCAAAGGATATATAATACCAGGAGTATGCAGGGAGCCTCACTGGAGGGAAGGTAGCAAAGCTATATCCTGTAAGAGCTTTGCAGACTGGTCCTTTCTCACTTTCTCAAGACTAGATGGTGTCAGCAGCAGAAGAGGGAAAGATGCTATAAATGAACCCTGCTTATATATCAAAGGCAGCTTTGTATGGACAGAACAGGTTTGGGGTTGTCATGTAATCGCAGTAGTACTTGGAGAAGGGGGAATGATAGAATGGAAGTAGAGGCTGCTATACGGGAAGACTTACGATAGTTCTTAAATACTGAAAGTAAAGTGCAGTATGCTGCTGACTGTTGCTGGTCCATTCATGTCTGCTCTTTTTATTATCCTGAATGAGTTGGAAATGTCAGAGTTCTCAAGAATCCATGGATTCTGGTCCTTTTACTCTGAAAAAAAGTCATTGCTTATTTCCTTAAAAATGAAAGAAATAATCTTGCCTAACTTCTGTGATTATAATGAAACATTAATACTTGTAAAGTGGCTTTTGCTGATACAGAATAAGCATCTAAGGTCTATATATTATCATCATTTTGATTAACTGCCAAAATTTTGACTTATTTTTATTTAAACTCATATATCATTTTCATTTTTTGGGGGGGGGGTCCAGTCGTGGGGCCTGAACTCTGGGCCTGGGCGCTGTCCCTCAGCTCTTCAGCTCAAGGCTAGCGCTCTACCACTTGAGCCACAGCACCATTTCCGGCTTTTTTCTTTTTGCTTATGTGATGCTGAGGAATTGAATCCAGGGCCTCATGCATGCAAGGCAAGCGCTCTACCACTGAGCCAACTTCCCATCCCCTATCATTTCTATTTTTTCCATACTTTCTACTTGTTTTTTTCTTTGTCATTTTGTTTTTACTTCTTTACTTGGGGCATAGCCTCATCTCATTGGCTTCATTGTTATTATTTTTTAATTTTTAATTTTTTTGGTGCTGATCCTGGGGCTTAAACTCAAGGTCTTAAGGTTAGGGTGTTGTCCCTAGGCTTCTTTTGCTCAAAGGGTAGCGCTCTAACACTTGAGCCACAGCTCCACTTCTATTCTTAAGCTCATTTACCCTGATGGCCTTGAGAAACAAGAGTCTCTTTTATCTTAAGTAAAATTGACAACAGAAAAGCCAAAACATTTCTTTCACCACATTTAAAAATTATCTTGAGTGTATTTCTAATCATTGTTGAAACAAATCATTGTGGGTCTTTTTTTTCAAGAGAAGGAAACACATATTCTGTCAAGGAGCTCTTCTTTATACATGGTCTGTTTCCTACTTCACTTTTTTCATCCCAACTCAGATGAACTCACTACAAATAGAATTTTACTGTTTGTGTCTAATTGGTAGTAAGCGGGGGAAATGAGTTATTGCAGAGTTTTGTCAAAAACCTCTTTTATACATATCTAAGCTACCTCTATTCCACTCACCTCCATCCTCAACCTTAACCTTCCTCTTCCCTATGTCCTTCACTGCCCTGTGTGAAGACTTTGATAATCCATTGGTAGTTACTTAGACTATCTTTATTGGCACTATTTTTCGTAGGGAAAAGACTTCTGGAGCTTCCTTGGTAGTTCTTTTATGTGTGTATGGAAGCAGGGAGTGAGTGAGGGAGGGATATGTTCTAAGCATTTCAATTAGAAATTAGAAATTTGAATTTTCCCACAGAAGCATTTATTGATAAGTATTATTAGCTTTCAGATTACTGTCAGTGCTGATAGTACTATATTTTTTCTATGAGGAAGTATGTTCCAGATACCAAACAGTGGAAGTTGCCTGCACAGATTTATTTAGTGCTTGTCTTTTGTACTGAAATATTGTGGCACCTGGGAAAAAGCCTTCGGATTTTCTTTGTTACTTTCTAACAATAAGCAGAGGGTACTGCATAGACATATACTGTTATTTATTTTGTATGGAGATAGAATTAGCGGTTTGTGAATGCTGAACTACCAAAAGAAAGAAACATTTGAAAATGATGTGATTAAATCCTTAAGATATTCATTTTAGTGTGTTTATTTGTTGGGTTTTATTTTTGTTCTTTGCTTCTTTAAAATCAGGCTTATTGAGATATAATATATATATATATACATATACATATGTTAAAATTTGCCAGATATATACAATCATGAAACTATGACCACAGTCAAGATTATTTCCATTACCCTGGCAAGTTTCTTTTTGCCTCTTTGTAGTTATTTCTTTCTCTCCAGCCCCTGGACACCTTTGATCTGTTTTTGTCTCCATAGTTTTACCTTTTCTAGAATGTTATATAGAATGCATTAAATATGTAGTCTTTGGACTGTCTTCTTTCATTTAGTCTAAAGATTTTTGAGATCTTACATGGTTAAAATAATATGATCAAAATAGGATTTTATGACTCATACAAAGGGATTTTTTTCCCTCTTGTTTATGATACTTAAAAAGGGAGAGACTAAAAGAACAATTCTCAGGGAGAATACATTCAATAGATGGGGTATATTAACCATATACTGAATGACTGATTTGGCTTAAAGTCAATTATTGAGGTGTAGTTGTTGAATGAGGACGGAAGCAGAGCTATGTCTATATAAGAGGAATTGAAGTCTGAGATATACCTTTTTATAAAAGGTTCTTAAAGGAGATGATTTGACTAACACAATCGATAATATAGAATACTAGCAAATGGTGCTGAAATTGGAGTCTTAGACTCCATACCCAAACTTTGAGCTTCCACATAGCAGGTCTAATCACTTGTCCCTTTATGACAAATAAAGAGACATGGCAAGTGAAAAAAAAAAAAAGAGATTTATTATGACCAATCCATGGGAGGACAATATGTAGGTTTTTTTTTTTTTTTTTTCCAAGTCATTTTCAGGGTACAGACAAGTTTTAGCTTTAGATAGACAAAGAACTGGGGATAAGGAAGATAGTTCTGTGTGAATATTAAATAGTCATAGAGGTCAGAGATAGTGGCAGGTAGTCTCCCAGTACTTTCTCTCACAATTGGTCTGATGGGGCCTAGTTGACCATTTTCCTATACCTTAATTTTGAGGGTTCCTGAGGAGAATTATTAATAATTGACATCACTTAAGGGAAGCAATCTGGTTCCCCAAAGTGATTACTCCTGTTTGAGGATGCACCCACATCTTTATAGGAGCACGTGCACGCGCGCGCGCGTGTGTGTGTGTGTGTGTGTGTGTTATTATAAGTAATTGTTTCCATGGCATATGTGTGCACCTGTGCATCATCACCTTCAAAGTGAAACAGAATACCTTAGAGTAAAGACAAATTCGAAACGAAGGCAGAGATGATTTTTAGCTAATTTATGAGCCCATCTATAAGGAATCAGTGTTTTCAGCAAAAGCAACTTTTAAGCATCGTTGCTGGTGTTGGCTGGAGAGGATTCAGAGAATAGCTGGAAGGCTGGCAGAAAGTACATAGTCCTAGTATAGCTTGAGCAGTTGGTCCTTGGAAAAGGAGTGAACAGAGAACTTATCATAGTCTAAAATCTGTCAGACTCTTAAGTTTGTATGTTGTCAATTGCTTGAATATTACAGTAATGCATATGCTGTTTATTTTGTGTGTATTTGGAATCATTTTAAAGCAGCTTAATAGATCTACCCATGTCGTTGTATGAATCAGTAATTCCATTAAAAAAATTACTGAGTAGTAGTAGTAGTTCATTGTATAGATGTACAACAACTTGTTTGTCCATTCACCAGTTGATGAATGTTTGGGTTGTTTCAGTTCTGAGTTGTTATGAATGGGGTTACTGTGAGCATCTACATATCGATCTCTGTGTGTGTATGTTTTCATTTCACTTGGATAAATATCTAGGATTACTGACTGTATGGTAAGGGTGTGTTTATCTTTAGTTAAAAAAGTACTGGTATTTTCCAAAAGAACTATAGAGTTTTACATTCCCTTCACCAGTATATGAGACTCACAGTCCACCTATATCTTCACCAGATATTGGAATTGCCAGCTTTCTTTTGAATTGTTTTTGTCATTATAGTGAGTATGTAGTGGTTTTTCATTTTTGTTTCTCTGGTGATTTAACAGTGTTAAGCATCTGTTTATGTGTTTTGGTCATCCATATTTCCTTAGTGAAATTTCTTTAGGCTTGAAAAACTGAACGTTATTATTGTTGAGTTCTAATAAATGTAGATGAAGTCCTGTATTAGATACATGTTTTATAATTTTTTTCTTCCCATATATGGCTTTTATTTCCTTGATACTATCTTTAGAAGAGCATAGTTAAAGTCTATGCTCTTCGAAAGACATTAAGAAAATTTTATTTAGTAGAAGTTAATTTACGACTTTCATTTTATGAGTCATTTTTTAAAATATTTTATAAGAATTGTTTGCCTAACCCAAGCTCGTACCTTCTTACATTTAGGTCTTTTAGGTTCAATTAGAGTCAGTTTTTCTTTTTTTCTTTTAAAAAAATTTTTTTTGGGGGGGTCTGGTTGTGGGGCCTGAACTCAGGGCCTGGGTGCTGTCCCTCAGCTCTTCAGCTTAAGGCTAGCGCTCTACCACTTGAGCTATAGCGCCACTTCCGGCTTTTTTAAAATTTTCTGCTTATGTGGTGCTGAGGAATTGAACCCAGGGCCTCATGCATGCAAGGCAAGTGCTCTACCACTGAGCCATCTTCCCAGCCCTAGAGTCAGTTTTTATATGTAGTACAAAACTAAGGGTTGTAGTTCTTTTTTTTTTTCCTTATAGATATCTATTTTCCAGAATCGAAAATTAAAACTATGTTGGCACTTTGTTAAGTCAATGATTTAATTCCTTTCTTCTTTCCTTATATATGTTTGGTGTTACAATTTTTTTTTTTTTTTTGTCAGTCGTGGGGCTTGGGCGCTGTCCCTGTGCTCTTTAGCTCAAGGTGAGCACTCTACTGCTTGAGCCACAGCGCCACTTCTGGTTTTCTAGTGGTTTATTGGAGATAAGAGTCTCACGGACTTTCCTGCCCGGCTGGCTTTGAACCGCGATCCTCAGATCTCAGCCTTCTGAGTAGCTAGGATTACAGGCATGAGCCACTGGCTCCACTACTTTGATCTGTAGACCATAGATTGTAATTTTATTTTCAGTCAACTGAGGATACTTTCCTAATTTTCTTTCTGATTTCTTCTTTCACCTTTGGATTAGTTAGAAGCGCATTGCTTAATTACTAAATATTAAGACTTTTTCTCTAGTGATTCTAATTTTATTGCATTATGGATTATATATGAGTGTTAGTTTATCAGATTACTGATGTATATACCATTTTTCTTTTTTCTTTTTGTCAGCCATGGGGGCTGAACTCGGCCAGTGCGCTGTCCCTCAGCTCTTCAGCTCAAGGCTAGCGCCCTACCAGTTGAGCCACAGAGCTACTTCCAGCTTTTTTTCTCCTTATGTGGTGCTGAGGAATTGAACACACTGAGCCACCTTTCCAGCCCTCATTTTCTTTCTTCCTTTTTTTTTTGATTGTGGGGCTTGAACTCTGGGTCTGGGCGCTGTCCCTCAGCTCTTCAGCTCAAGGCTAGTGCTCTGCCAATTGAGCCACAGTGCCACTTCTGCCCTTTTTCTGCTTATGTGGTGCTGAGGAATTGAACCCAGGGCCTCATGCAGGCGAGGCAAGCGCTCTACCACTGAGCCACCTTCCCAAATTTTTTTATTTGTATTGTTGAGAAAAATTTTACTTTGCCATATGATAAGTTAATATTTGCTATTTTACCTTGCAAGTGCAAATTTGTAAATTGTTCTCTCCTTGCCATTTTTGATAGGTCTAAGATCTGGCAAACTTGGTGAACAGTGTGAAGCAGTGGTTCGCTTTCCCAGGCTTTTCCAGAAGTATCCATTCCCTATTCTCATCAATTCTGCATTCCTAAAGTTAGCTGATGTTTTCAGAGTTGGGTAAGTCTTTGTAAAACCTTTCCTGAAGTACATATTCATGGATTTTGTTTTGTTTTGTATTGTTTGTGGTCTTTTTTTTTTTTTTGTCTTGGTCCGTGGTGGGCCTTGAACTCTGGGCCTGGGCACTGTCCCTCAGCTCTTCAGCTCAACTAGCACTCTACCACTTGAGCCACAGTACCACTTCTGGTTTACTGAGTGGTTTATTGGAGATAAGAGTCTCAGGGTCTTTCCTGCCCTGGCTGGCTTTGAACCATGATCCTCTGATCTCAACCTCCTGAGTAGCTAGGATTACAGGTGTCAGCCACTGGCGCCCGGCTTTGTGGTCTTTTTCTTTTGCCCTTAAACCTTTCCACATGGGTATCATTTTAGTGAGTTCATATTTCATTGTGTCACATTTTGGTGTCAAAGACTATCTAGCAAAAATGAAGCAAATGCTTCTGAGGAACAAGATTCATTCCAAAATGAATCCCTTAATATATTAATGTGTTTGCTGGAAATTTTTTGCTTTGTGCAGATTGTTTTGAGAACTTTCTCACTTAATTTAGTGGCATATAACATGAGATGCAAGTCTGTGAAGTTTCTGAAACAGGTAAGTATGTAAATACTACATATTCCAAATCTGATTTGACAGAGAAAAGAAGTGATGGAATTTGCTGGAGAAAGGAGGAAGACCATTGAACCACTTGGCTTTGCTTATAATGTGATTAAGGAGATTTAGTTTGGCTCCAGGGCTTTTCCTTATGGCACAGCTAACTTACAGCAAGACTGTAGATCATAGGTTACTGCTTTTACTCAGTATCCACCTGAAGTACAGACTTTAGGTAATTTTTTTAGTGGTGAGACAGAGTACAAGATTGAACCTGTTGTTAAAAGTTAATATCAGCATGACTAACCTCAAAGTAAATATTTCTTTCCTGAAGTGTCCTAATTTATTTATCTCTGGTTTTCCTAGAAACAATTTCCTAAGACTGTGTGTGCTTAAAGTTACCCAACAAAGTGAGAAGCATTTGGAGAAGATTTTAAATGTGGATGAATTTGTGAAGAGGATTTTTTCTGTGATTCACAGTAATGATCCTGTGGCAAGAGCTATCACACTCCGGTATAGCATTGCTATAGTAATTCACCTTATCATTCAGCTGTGATGTGTGTACCAAAAAGGCAATATATACTTCCTTTTGTCATTTTAAATATTAAAGATTGGTTTTTGTTTGAAAAAATGCTAATCATCCAGTAAATTCCAGTTAACATCTATTGTACTATTTGGGTTCTTAGTTGTTATCAAACTTGAGTTTGGGTAGGTAAGAATTCTGATGTAATAGCTTGGTTAATTCCAGTACAGCTTAGTCTCAGCTGTTTTTGTTTTTTAAATAAATTTTGCTCTCTCATTCTTACTATTTTCTGTCAGTATTCCTCCCTGGCTATGTGATCATATGTATGTGATAGTTTACATTTAAACTAATTGGGAAACACCAAATATCACTGTAGTTTCTTTAATCTTTCCTTTTTTTCTTGTCATTTAAAGGTATTTTGTTAAAATTTCTTTTTGTAAGCTTTTTTTTTTTTTTGTCAGTTGTGGGGCTTGAACTCTAGGCCTGGGCACTGTCCCCCTGAGCTCTTCAGCTCAAGGTAAGCACTCTACCATTGAGCCACAGTGCCACTTCTGGCTTTCTGGTGGTTAATTGGAGATAAGAGTCTCATAGACTTTCCTGTCTTGGCTGGCTTTGAACCGTGATCCTCGGATCTCAGCCTCCTAAGTAGCTAGGATTATAGGCATGAGCCACTGGTGCCTGGCTTTGTAAGCTTTTTATCATGTTGAATCATATTCTTTTTAGCTCTGCTGTTTATGCAATTATATGTGTAATTTGGGGGATATTTTTGAAATTTGCTAAATTATAGCTTTCATTTCCTAGACAATCCTCTTTATAACCACAAAGTCTAGGGTGTTATTTTTCCCCTGAGTTTCCTTTCTCCATGTCCACATCAGTTCTTCCTTGTTCAGAATTTAGTGACTTTTAAAAATCATCCCTATGCCCTTTGGATGAATAAATTCAGCACTGTGTAATATTTTAAAAGATCTTTTATTTTTCAAAAACTTTATCTAAAGCCAGGCAATGATGACTTGTGCCTGTAATACTAGCTACTCATAAGGCTAAGATCTGAGAATTGCATTTTGAAGCCATCTCATATTGGAAAGCCTGTGAGACTCTTATCTCCAATTAACCATCAAAAAGCTGAGAATGGAGCTGTGGCTCAAGTGGTTGAATGCTAACTTTGAACAAAAAAATTCAGGAATAGCAAATAGTCCCTGAGTTCAAGCCCCAGGACTGGTATACACACACAAAACCCTAAAAACTTTATCCCATAGTAATAAGCATGCTTGAAACACTAGGTTCAATCTCCAGCACCACTGAAAATAAAAGAGGAAAAATAATGATATGCAATAGGACAATTTAAATTTAAGATGCACTTACCGCTTACAAGTTAATATGTGCAAGATTTTTAAAAGTTGAAGATAAAATATATTGAACATAGTATTTTTATAAAATGAAACATTAAGGATACATATGTGTCTATGAGAATAGCTGATTTATAGAGTATTACATAATTGAGTGGCATAAGTCTAGAGGATATAAAAACAGAAAGATACTAAGTTAAACAAGGTATGAAAGTTATGGCATACATTTAATTATTTCTGATGGGTCATTGGTTTATGAATTATAAGAATTTTCCATGAAATTTTGTAATTTTGAGTTATTTTCTACAAACAAGGGTTATTTAGGTTTATCAGAGTAATAAAGAAGAGGATTAATGGAATTTAAAGAATAAATGAATTTTATAAGTAATTTAGAGCTAGTCTGAATGTGTATATTAACATTTCAATTTCCATTTGCCCCTCAGTAAATTACAGCAGTTGAGCCTTGCTGCATTTCTTTTTTTAAGAACTTATCAATTGGGGCTAGGAAGATGGCTCAGTGGTAGAATGTTTGCCTTGCGTGCATGAGGCCCTGGGTTCAATTCCTCAGCACCACATAAGCAGAAAAAGCCAGAAGTGGTGCTGCAGCTCAAGTGGTAGACTGCTAGCCTTGATAGACTGCTAGCCTTGAGCTGAAGAGCTGAGGGACAGCTCTCAGGCCCAGAGTTCAGCCCCCAGGACCCCCCCCCCCCACACACACAAAGAACTTATCAATAAAACTGGTAATTCTAGGAATTTTTGAAATAAAGAACTTATAGGGGGAAGAGCCAAATTGGATTTTTAATAATAACACTTGATGTAAAAAGTTGTTTTTTTGTTTGGTTTTTTTTTTTTGGGTCTGGTTGTGGGGCCTGAACTCTGGGCCTGGGTGCTGTCCCTCAGCTCTTCAGCTCAAGGCTAGCGCTCTACCACTTGAGCCACAGTGCCACTTTGGCTTTTTTCTTTTTGCTTATGTGGTGCTGAGGAATTGAACCCAGGGCCTCATGCATGCAAGGCAAGCGCTGTACCGCTGAACCACCTTCCCAGCCCCTTGATGCAAAAGTTTTAAAGGAAATTTAAACTAATTTTTCTTTTTGGTGGTAGATCTTGAACTCAGGGCCTGCATGCTGTCCCTGAGCTCTTTAACTCAAGGTGAGCACTCTGCTGCTTTGAGCTACTTTCCGGTTTTCTGGTGGTTAGTTGGAAATAAGAGTCTCATGAACCTTCCTGTCCAGGATGACTTTGAACTGCAATCCTCTGATCTCAGCCTCCTGAATAGCTAGGATTACAGGTGTGAGCCACCAGTGCCTAGCTTAAACTAAAAAATTTTATATTCAGTCCAGTTGCCATTTAAAAGTTATTAGCCAGGCACTGGTGGGTTAGACCTGTAATACTAGCTACTTAGGGGGCCGAGATCTGAGGATCATGGTTTGAAGCTAGCTCCTGCAGGACAGTAAACTTACCTCCAGTAAACTACTCAGAAAAAAACCGGAAGTGCTGTGGCTTAAGTGGTAGTAGAGTGCTAGCCTTGAGCACAAAGAGCTCTGGGACATTGTCTAGGCCCAGAGTTCAAGCCCCAGGACAGGCAAATAAATAAATAAAGGTGATAATAAGGAAGAAATAATTTAAAGGTGTTCTGCTTTTTACCTGATATGTTAAACATGTAAATTAAAACAACAATGGAAAACAAGCTGGAAGATACCCATTTGAAATATAGTGTTCTGAGTTACATTTCTAGGAATATTTTCAGAGTCACAAAGGAGATTTTTCCCTGTGATATTACATAATAACACTATCAATAAGGATGTGTTAATATTAGTTTAGTCTGATAAAGAATATTAAATTAGTAACTATTTGTTATTTCTTCCAAAATTAAATATAAATTAGATTGGCTCTAGGGTTTGAACTGAGGGCCTCATGCCTGCATTTTATGATTTTGACCACATCCTTAACCCGCTTTTTTGCTTTTATTACTGCCCCCCCCCCCCCCCCCCCTCCGGTTGTGGATCTTGACTCGGCCTGGATGCTGGCCTTGCACCTCTTTGTGCTCAGGGCTAGCACTCTACCACTTAAGCCATACCTCCACTTCTGAAATTAAATATAAATTAGAAATTTAGACCTTTTTATTGTCTTGTTTATATGAGCTCAACTATAGTACTTATGTCCAGGTGATTATATCACTATAATGAGGTGAGAATATGTTGGAATCCTAGATTTTGTTTATTTCAGTGTTTTGCAATTTTCCAAAATATATGCCTTCCTGTTGAAATTATTGCTCAAGCTTTGCTTTTTGTTTTGTTTTGTTTTTTTGTTTTTTGTTTTTTTTGGTCCTGTTGTGGGGCCTGAACTCTGGGCCTGGGCTCTTCAGCTCAAGGCTAGCATTCTACCACTTGAGCCACAGTGCCACTTCTGGCTTTTTTTTTTTCAGCTTACGTGGTGCTGAGCAATCGAACCCAGGGCCTCAAGCATGCAAGGCAAGCGCTCTACCACTGAGCCATCTTCCCAGCCCCAAGCTTTGCTTTTTGTAGTTGATATCACAAATATATTTTTGCTTCCAAACCTATACTTTTACAATATAGTGTATTTTTTTCAAGTTTTACTTTCCTTTCTGTTCTTGATGTTGAGGGTAGATATGAAAAGTATATCAGTGTAACTGTGGGGTATAAGATTGGGAAGACTTACTTATTTTACTTTGTAAATCTACTCAGTGGTTAAAAAAAAGTCATATTCTTGATTCTCTACTAAAACTTTTCCAGGCAGCATTGCTAATTGGTAGTTTCATGCTTTAATAATTTAACTTTGTTTTCTAGACCCTACTTGGTGCCTAATGATTGTTTTTAGAAATTACCTTGTATTAGATAACCCATTTTATCATTTTGATACATTGAAATATATAGAAGTATTTAGGTTTTGAGCTTGATTCCTGATTAGTTTAATTAAGATTTATTAACTCAAGATGTATGGATGATCTGCAAACTTGTAGTAGGATACTCTAGTTGCTTTGTGTTCTTTTTTCCTGCCTTGGAGTTCACTGTGTTTACATTCTTCTTGGGTTTCTCTGTTTCTTTAGGATGTTGGGAAGTCTGGCATCTATAATTCCTGAGAGGAAGAATGCTCATCATAGTATTCGTCAAAGTTTGGATTCACACGATAATGTGGAAGTGGAAGCTGCTGTGTTTGCTGCTGCGAACTTCTCTGCACAGTCCAAGTAAGCATAGGCCTTTTAATAATTCAGCTTCCCAAGAAGAGGTTTTGAAGAAATAACTGTATTTTTCAAGAGGTTTACTTGTTGGGGAAGTAAAACTTAAATACATAAGATAGAAAGATTGCATCAAATACTGATTTCCAAAAGGACAAGATCAAAATGGATGAGTTTGGGAAAGCTTTATTGGATACAGCTTTGTCCATTGTGGAGTCGTCCACACATATGCGCATCTATGATCCTAAATAGTTTCTTTCTTACCTCTGATATTCACCTGTTTTGCCCTTGAGCCATGAACAGTTTGATAAAGACAGTAACTTAAAACGAATTTTAACATATTCAGGATACCATGTCCTTAAAATCAGGGAAACTTTGAACATGACTTCATTGCTATTTTGACTTGCTTATTTATAATTAACTATGTGGGTTTTTTGTTTTGCTTTTTGGCACTGGTCTGGGGCTTGAACTTCTGGCCGGGGTGCTGTCCCTGAGCTTTTTTGCTCATGGCTAGTGTTCTACCACTTGAATAACAGCTCCATTTCTGGCTTTTTAATGGTTAATTGAAGATACAAGTCTTACCGACTTTCCTGCTCAGGCTGGCTTCAAATTGCAATCCCCAGATCTCAGGATAGAACTGTAAGCCACCAGTGCCCGGCTATTCAGACCCAGAAGATCCACTTCTGGAAACTTACCTGAGGTATTAGCAATTTAGGTTGCTATTTTTTTCAGATATTGGTTGTAATGAAATATGTCAGACTAGTAAAGTGGTATATAATTACTATTTTATTTTTGTTTATTTTCTGCCAGGCTACATGGTCAGTTTTAGTTTATAATCAGGTGAATGAATAATCAATAGCAATTTAACAAGTTTAGGATACTTGATCAAATTTTTGAAATTTGATAAAACAAAATCAGCTTTTTTCTGATTTTAAGTATGCATATTTTTCTCTTCAGCTGATCTTATCTTTAGACTAATAAGATTATTCATTAGAAAAGAATAAAGAATAAAAAACACATATTTTGAGAAGACATCTGAATACAATTCTTTGCTTTGAAAATTTTTCTTACAGTTATTGAGAGAACTTTTTAAAACTGCTTTTATTGAGTTGGAGTGATTCCCATAAATAGTTATGTGATTACTACTGTCAAGGTCTTTATAATCTGTTAGATTAAATATGTACATCCAGTAGTTATAAAAGCTTTTCTATGTTGAGTCCTAAATTTGGGTACATTCATTTATTTTTTTATTTACTTATTTATTGTGGGTTGTGGGGCTTGAGCTCTGGGCCTGGGCGCTGTCCCTTAGCAATTCAGCTCAAGGCGAGAGCTCTACTACTTGAGCCACAGCGCCACTTCCAGCTTGCTCTGGTTGTTAATTGGAGAAGAGTCTCATGGACTTTTTTGCCTGTGCTGACTTTGAACCACGATCCTCAGATCTCAGCCTCCTGAGTAGCTAGGATTATAGGCATGAGCTACTGGCACCTGGCATTTATAGCGTAGTGGTTAAACTGTGTGTGTGTGTGTGTGTGTGTGTGTGTGTGTGTGTGTGTGTGTGTGTGTGTGTGTGAGAGAGAGAGAGAGAGAGAGAGAGAGAGAAAGTATGTGTGTCTATGTGTCTGTGTGTCTTGGATCTTGAACTCAGGGTCTAGGCTCTGTCCCTAAGTTCTTTTGCTCAAGACTAGCACTCTATTAATGATTATATATGACAATTTTTTAGTTTACTTTTTCTCTTGTGCTATCAAGAAATTATTTTATTTCTGATTTGTGTTGGAAGATGATTTAAGACTTAACATAGAACTTGGCTTATGGAACTCATGACCAGTAAATATATTAACATTTATGTAGAAAGTATTTTTATATTCCATGCTTCAATATGATGCACTTATATTTGTGATATTAAAAAGTACTGAATTACTGTAGTTCAAAAGAAAGCCTGAAGGGCTTATGTAAATATATTTAAGTACGATTAATGAAGTGTTTGATTTTGAGACCAAGGTTTACTTACCTCGTCTAACCAATACTGGTGCATTTTTGTCTTAGTATTTTTTTCCCTTTCGTTTATTTTCTGTTTATGTGGTACTGAGGAATCGAAACCAGGGCTTCATGCATGCTGGGCAAGCACTCTACCACTGAGCCACATTTTTAGTCCCTGTCTTAGTGGGGTTTTTTGGGGTTTTGTTTTTTTTTTTTTTTGGATTTTAGATCAGACTAGCCAAATAGAACATAAAGAATTTATCTCATTCTGTTCTCTCTTTCTATACTACCATAACCATACATAATTTATTGTCCTAACTTACTATTTTAATAAGTTAAGATTTTATGCTTTTAAAGAGCTAGTCCTTGGGTTACAAAACAAGAGTGGCAAGCCCCAGACGCCTTAAGGGACACCAAGCAGGCATTGTTAGTGAGAGTGGTGCCATCTAGTGGTGACTGGTGAACTGAGCTATCTCCCTCAGAAAGGGTCCGCAGCTCTGTGGCACAAGCCAGTTGTTAGAATGCAGGAATGTCAGCCCAATGCTATCAAATCATATTTGGGTCAGGGGCTGGAGTGTAGGAAGGTACAACTGGAATATTATTTTGTCTAGTCTCATTGAGATTAAATGTTTAAGATTAAGAATTTATTACTAGTCAGAAATAACAGGATTCTAATTTTTAGTTTATTGGCCCTAAATACTTGTATTAGATCTTTAAACTCTGAGTTATTACAAAAATTTTTGATACATTTAGTAAAGAAATATCCATCATGTCTAGGTACTGTTCAAAGAACCAGATATACAGAGTAATAAAGATCAGGTCCTAGGCAAGTGCAGTGGCTCAAACCTATAATCCAGCTACTCAGGAGGCTAAGATGAGAATCGCAGTTCGAAGCCAGCCCAGACAGGAAAGTTGATGAGACTCCTATCTCCAATTAGCTACCAAAAAGCTGAAAGTGGAGCTGTGGCTCAAGTGGTAAAGTGCTAGCCTTAAGCACAAAAGCTCAGAGACAGTACCCCAGCCCTGAGTTCAAGCTCCAAGACTGGTACACACACATACACAAAGATCAGGTCCAATTAACACACAATAATTTCAAATGTTAGTATTAAGACAAAAGAAAATGATGCAGTTCGAATGGCCTCAGTGCACTGTTTTAGCTGAGGTTGTTAGGGAAGTTTTCTCTGAGTAACGTTTTTTCCAAAACTGAGTGAATGAATAATGCCCCTCATTTAGAAAGCTGAATGAGGGGCTGGGAAGGTGGCTCAGTGGTAGAGCGCTTGCCTTGCATGCATGAGGCCCTGAGTTCGATTCCTCAGCACCAAATAAGCAAAAAGAAAAAAAATCCAGAAGTGGCGCTGTGGCTCAAGTGGTAGAGCGCTAGCCTTGAGCTGAAGAGCTGAGGGACAGTGCCCAGGCCCAGAGTTCAGGCCCACAACTGGACCCCAAAAAAAAAAGCTGAATGATTCAAGCAGAAGTACTAACAGGTACAAGAGTTCTCTGAGATAGGAAATAGTTCTCTATATGTACCTAATACAAGCCACTTGCCTTATACCTTCATGATATTTTTACTATTTTGTAATGTGAGACTCATTTCTGTTAAAAGCACCCTTTATACTAGTTTTTGTTTTTGTTTTGAGACAGGGTCTTGCTGTGTAACCAGATTGACCTAAAATTCTCTATGTAGCCTAGACTAGCCTCCAACTTGAGTTCTTCCTGTTCTTCTCCTGAGTGCTAGGATTATAGGCTCCATCATGCTGGCCTGCTTTTATAAACTCTTGGCAACTTTCCTGTTGTCCTGTGTTTATGTGGATTATATGTACTATATTAGATATTTAATTAGTTGAATTTAAAAAATACAAAGAATCTATAATTTTACAAAGAATCTATAATGTGTTAGCAAAATATGAAAATGCACATATCTAATATTTAAGATTGCTAACTTTAAATGGTTTGGCTTTTAAAAAGATTTTATCTAGCCGGGCACCGGTGGCTCACGCCTGTAATCCTAGCTGCTCAAGAGGCTGAGATCTGAGGATCACAGTTTAAAGCCAGTCAGGGCAGGAAAGTCTGTGAGACTCTTATCTCCAATAAACTACTAAAAAACCGGAAGTGGCACTGTGGCTCAAGCTGTAGAGTGCTCGCCTTGAGCTGAAGAGCTGAGGGACAGCACCCAGGCCAGTTCAAGCCCCACGACTGACAAAAAAAAAGATCTGTCTGTGTATCCAACTGTATTTCTACCATTTCAAACTAGTCTTTTTCTAAAATGCATGATGTTAGGAATTGGTTTTATTGCTTATGTACTCAAAACTCTGTGTTCAAAGCTTTTCATATAAATGAATGTATATCTTAAAGTGTATTCTACAATAGTGACCTTGATTCTTCCAGACAGTATCACTAAGATACAATTTCAACAACATTCACAAATCAGGGAACCTTTCTTTAAAGATCATATTAGAGAGGCGTTCACATGAGCCTATGTGGTGGTTGGAGGGTTGTGTGTTTTTTTGTTTTTCCTGTCATGTGTTTCTGTCACTTGTCTGGCATATTCATTATGATTTAGAATATTGTATTTCTCCTGTGCTAATTGTATTCTATACCAAATTCTTAGAAAAATTCAGCAACTTTAATTTTCTGGTTTCAATTTTTCTATTCTTTTTTTCCAAAGGGATTTTGCTGTTGGAATCTGTAACAAAATCAGTGAAATGATTCAAGGTATGTATGCTTCATTTATTAATATGAAGTGACTTCATGGGATTTACATTAATAATACACTTGTTAAGTACTTAACATAGTGAGTTATTATTCCTTCAACTAATACTAAACATCTTCTATATGTTAGAACTGTTCTAGGTACTTAAGATACAGAATTGAGCCCTTACCATCATGTAACCAACATTCATTCTAGTTGAGAGAAGTAATGGGTAATAGACAAATATAGAGATGACATAGCAAACACTATGGAGAAAAAGGGAGATAGGAAGGATAGAAAGTTCCAGTAGTCAGTGCAGGGAAAGAAGGGAGATTTTTGTATTTTACATGAGTTTGTCAGTGAAACCCTCTGATACAGTGAGACATGAAAGAGGGAAGGAATGAGACATGAAGATGAATAGGAAAATATTCTGATTTGGTAGAAAATAGTGTTACTTAGGAGCTCTGGACTCTCTGCTAATGTCTCTCCAGTGTTTCCCAGATGAAACTGGAAACAGATCCAAATCCCTTACCATAGGCTATATGGCCCTGTTTTTCTAATTTCACTTTTTAAATCCCTTTTGTTCTAACCCCATATGTCTTCATAATATTCATTATAGGCAAGCTCTGGTCTACAGCATTGCACAACTCTAAAGAACACTATTTTCTTTGTATTCTTACAAATGTTATTCTTTCCAATTCTGTGATGTGGCTGCCTTGGATAGATACCCATTTTACAGCACAGGAAGTGGAGCCACAGTAAAGTTCAGTAATATGTCCAAAGTCACACCACTTAGCATACTTTTAATCACTGCACTATTGTACCTTCCTGACATAGGAATTCCTTTAGGAGGGTAAGTTATATTTTACCTGCATTAAACTGCATTGCACAAGTGATAGAAATACCACTTAACTAAAGAGTAAGATACTGTGATTGAGCCTTAATCTTGTTACCTTTTATTCATTTGTGTTCTTTTCTTCTTGCCAGAAATGCATTCTTGTAGAAAGGGTTGTTACCTGCATGATAAAAGAAGGAAGCATCATTCATTCATTGAGAAGTTGTTTTGTTTTGTACCAGTACTGGGGCTTGAACTCAGGGCTTAGGCACAGGCTAGTACTGTTAACACTTCTGTTAACACTTGAGCTCCACTTTTGGCTTTTTTGTTAGTTAATTGGAGATAAGAGTCACAGACACTTTTGCCGGAGCTGGCTTTGAACTGCAATGCTCATATCTCAGTCTTCTGCATAGCTAGGACTGTAGGCATGCATGAGCCACCAGTGACCAGCTTAATTGAGCAGTTTTTGTTGAGTGTCTGCTATATTAGATAACATCTCATGGAGAAACATGCCACACTCTGCCATGAGAAAGGCCTAGAGTAAGGATAATACTTAGGAGACTCTTAGAACAATTTCAGAGAAGAGATGGTAGTGAAAATGGATCAACATGATAACATAGTCAGATTTGGGTTATATTTTAAAGATATAGCCAGTAAGATCTACTATAAATTTAGAAACTGGATCATAAGAGTGAAAATAGACTCAAGTCTGAGGAGCTATAATTACTGAAATGAGAAAATTTTAAAGATGCACTTTTGGGGTAAGATCAGAAGTTCTCTTTATTAAGTATAAAATGCTTCTAAGACACCCCAGTAGAGATAACCAGTAGATCATGGGTTATATATGTGTCTGAAGTTATGGTTGGAGAGGAGGGATGTGTCTTTAGTATTTAGTTAATAGTTAGTTTATAATGGATACCAAGGGATTATATCATCTTAAAAAGGTACAAAGAATGAGAAGAGAATTTATTACCTGTTTAAGGAAATGCCAAAAATCAAATATGGATAAGACGAGATTGTGAAAGAGATTCAGAAGAGAGCCAGAGAAAGAAGGAGAAACCTGGAAAAGAGTGAAAAGCAGAAGACAGGGGAGAATTGTCAGCATGCGAAATGTGTTCAGTATCCTAATATCAGAATAATATCACATGAGCATCATGTGACCCTGCAGGGAAGAAACTAGGGAATAACACTTGTTGGAGCTCTCTGGTTAGGCCAAACCTAGATCATAAGGGAGAGCTGTTAAATCAAACCAACATTGTTTATTAAATGCTGTCTTATGTTCATAACTAGTTATTTCACAGTGGGAAAACCAATGATCTGCAGAGTATAAATTAGCTTTGGCATCGTTTGTAGTATATTACAGTTGACAAATTTTTGTTCTCTATCCCCACAAAGGTATGTTATAGAAGAAAAGTCTGTTTAGCTCCAATGTTGACAGGAAATGATACATTGATGTTAGACTTTGTGGTTTTCTAGCTGTATTATTTAATCAAGGAAAGACATTTGTACACAAAACTCAGAGGACTTCAAAACTGTTCACACTGTCTGATCTTTATTAAGTTGTTAAGAATAGTTAATATTGTTAATTTAATCAAATTGTAGCCACTGAGTGTTAAATGTTTATCATTTGTATGTGTTTCTAATGTTTTTAATGTGATAAGATAGAAATAGGAAGCAAATATGGCCACTTTCTGCTGTGTATACTGGGGGTTTTTTGCTTTGTTTTTTGGGTTGGGGGGGTTGAGTGTGTGTGTGTGTGGTGTGTGTGTGTGTGTGTGTGTGGGTGGGTATTGGAGTTTGAACTTAAGACTTCACGCTTGCTAGATAGGTACGCTACTACTTGAGCCAGGCTTCCAGCCTTTTTTGCTCTGCTTATTTTTGAGATAGTCTCACGCTTTTCCCTAGGCTGGCCTAGATCACAATCATCCTATTTTCACTTTCAGCCACAGCTGTTAATGTTCTACCCATATGTAGCTTTTTCCTCTTGAGATGGAGTTGCAACAGAATTTTTTTTTTAACCAAGACTGGCCTAGCATTCGAATACTCCCAATCTCAGCCTAGTAGCTAGGATGACCAATCTCAGCCTAGTAGCTAGGATGACAAGCATGTACCACTGTATCTAGCTACCAGTTTAAAATATCTTGAAGTCTTGCCTAAGTTGACCTCGAACTGTGATCCTCTTGATCTCTGCCTCCATAGTAGCTAGGATTCCAGGTGTGAACTATAGGTGCTTGGCCAACATTAGTTTATAATTATTAACAAATTAAGATAATACTTTGGGGGAGGGGACTTGAACTTATTGATTAGCTGTAGCATAATTATCTTTAATGATATACAGCAAGGTATTATGCCGTTTATTTTTAAATGGACATTTTGCTAAATCTGTACCATTGTTACGAATGATAATCAGACCTCTGACAATTCTTTTTGTATCTAGGTTTAGCTACACCAGTAGACTTGAAGCTGAAGTTGATCCCCATCCTACAGCACATGCACCATGATGCTATCTTGGCTTCCAGTGCGCGTCAGCTTTTACAACAACTAGTCACTTCCTATCCTTCCACCAAAATGGTGATTGTTTCTTTGCACACTTTCACTCTGCTTGCAGCTTCATCTTTGGTTGATACACCTAAGCAGGTAACCCCAATTTTCTTTGGCCTGCTTATTAAACTTCAGTAAACTTGCAAATACATATGGTAAAAATGAGGAAGTAGCTCATGTATTTTGTGGCCTTAAGGTTCCTTTTTCTAATAAAGACCAGTTGAGCCAGGTGCTGGTGGCTCATGCCTTAATCCTATCTGCTTAGAAGTGGAGATCTGAGGATCACAGTTTGAAGCTAGCCCGGGCAGGAAAAAGACTCTTCTCTCCAATTAACCACCAGAAAACTGGAAGTGGCACTGTGGCTTTGAGTGGTAGAGCACTAGCCCTGAGCAAAAGAGCTCAAGGACAGTGTACAGGCCCTGAGTTCAAGCCTTGTGACTCATTTAAAAAGAAAAAAAAAAAAAGATTAGTTGAATTTTTTTTCTTTTTAAATTCATATTACTGATTCTTGGAAGCCCTGGAGAAAAATGAGGTGTTGGGGAGTACGTGACAGGATGTATAGTTGGCAATAAAGGAATGTGTCTTAAATGATAGTCACTATATTCTAACTTTACATAAATGGTAGTATTTTCAACACAAGAAGAAAGAGGCCCAACCCTGGCTACACCACTAATATGACAAAAAGACAGCTTTGATTTGAATGTAGTTCTTTGTCAACTATAAGTTTTACTAAACAGTACTTCATCCCTAATGATAATTCCAGATTTTTTTTCTTTTCTTTTTTTTTTTTTTTTGGGTCCGGTCGTGGGGCCTGAACTCTGGGCCTGGGCACTGTCCCTCAGCTCTTCAGCTCAAGGCTAGTGCTCTACCACTTGAGCCACCTTCCCAGCCCTCCAGATTTTTTTTCTTAGCATGTATCAGTTGTACAAATGAGACGATTTCATTCTGCATAATAATAATCTTAGTGCCAGTATTATTTATGGCAGTATTATTATGGAGTGATATAACTTCCTTTATAGATTCAGCTTTTGCTGCAATATTTGAAAAATGATCCCAGGAAAGCAGTAAAGAGACTTGCTATTCAAGATTTGAAATTACTTGCCAATAAAACACCACATACTTGGAGCAAGGACAATATTCAGGTATGTAGATCTTTGAACATGATATTTTATATAAGAAAATATAACATTACAATAAATCATTTTTGGCTGGCTGTGATTGTATATACATATAATCCTAGCTTCTCCAGAGGTGGAAAACCTATTATCTCAGCTATAAGGGAGGCATAGGAATTATAGGTAAGAGGATCATGGTTCAAAACCAGTCCCAGGCAAAAAAAATTTATCTCAAAGAGAACTAGAACCAAGAAGGACTTACCTCAAACTACATTTGCCTGATTCCAGCCCTAGCTCAGATTACAGGTGTGAGTCCTTAGCACGAGGCGTCACATTACAATTTTATATTGTGTTTCTCCCAAGTGGTTGAATATGAAAAACTTCTAGATATTGTCAATGTATGTGATAGAACTTACTATTATTATTATTATTATTATAGTTCTGGCGCGTGGACTCACTGTCCCTGAGCTTCTTTTGTTCAAGGCTAGCACTCTACCACTTGAGCCATAGTGCCATTTCTGGCTTTTTCTATTATGTAGTACTGAGGAATTGAGTCTAGGGCTTCATATATGCTCACTAAGTCACATTTCCAGCCCAGAAATTACTTCGTTGAAAAATAGCCAAGTATAGTGGCACGTGCCTATAATTCTACAATTAGGAGAAATAATCCTAGTACTAAGGATTGCAGAAGGATTGCAAATTTGAAGCCATCCAGGCTGCAAAAAAGCCAAAATTAAACAAAATAAGTAAAAATCTTCTTATGTGGTTGTTTTAATGAATGAAGCTTCTCTCTATATTCTTTCCTTCCTTCTTTCCCTCCTTCTTTTCCTCCCTCTCTCCCTCTCCCTTTCTTTCTTCCTCCCTTTTCTCCCCCTGGCCTCCTTCTTCCCTTTTTCCGTTCCCCCCCTCCCCCCGGGCTTGAACTCAGTAACTGAGTGTTGTCTTTGAGCTTTTTGCTCAAAGCTAGCACTCTACCACTTGAGCCACAGCTCTACTTCTGGCTTTTTGGTAGTTAATTGGAGATGAGTATTTCACAAACTTTTCTCATCTACGCTGGCTTACAGCCTAGAAGGCAGACCCTGATGAGCATGGTCCAGTGGCTTCTCAAAAGCTCAACTCTAAAAAATATGGAAGGAGTGGCATTGATCGAGACCCATTGTATTCATAAACTAGCATATTAAATTAAAGCCCCTTTGTACAAGTATTTGAAGATAATAATATGTTTTTTAAAGCCACAGTTCTAAATACTGTTTCAATACACTTTTTGTGGAAATCTTTATATCCAAATTATAACAGCTGGTTTTTTTTTTTTTTTAATTTTCTCAGCCTATTTACATCATGATTTGATAGTTACAAATATCCCAAGAGTTAGGACAGTTATTCGTATTTGCATTTAATAGATAAACAATTAGGGTTCAAGAGACTGACTAAACTTACAAGTTGCTTACGACAACTTTGTCATTTAATTAAGAGACTGTGTCCTCTAGTCCCTTTATAGTGATTTTTCTACTAAACAGTACTGTCTTTTCAAGTAGAAAATGTGCTGAATTACGTTAGTCATTTACTGAAATTCATGTATGGAGCCAGACCTATTTATTTAAAACGATCAGTTAGGAAGTACAATATTGTTCCTTAGCATTTTTCCTTATTATGCAATAGATTGTGAAAAGAGAAAGGGTACAAAGTGTAAATTGAATAGGACATTTCAATTTTCAACCTTCTGTTTTCCTCTAATGTCTGTTCCTAATCAAAACTCAAAGGAAACATGCTTCTAACCTCTTCAGAAACTGAACTGGGAACACTAACTCAGAATATGACATCTAGTTGAACAGTAAGGTGAGCCAGCATAGAGGAGCCACCATAGTCAGTGAGGTGACGGCCAGTGAGATGGGGACTCCATTTGAAGAGATGGTTGTTATTGTTATTGTTGATATTAAAATAGTACTGGTAAGAACCATTGTGGGGGCTGGGAAGGTGGCTCAGTGGTAGAGTGCTTGCCTTGCATTCATGAGGCCCTGGGGTTCGATTCCTCAGCACCACATAAGCAAAAAGAAAAAAGCCGGAAGTGGCGCTGTGGCTCAAGTGTAGAGCGCTAGCCTTGAGCTGAAGAGCTGAGGGGACAGCGCCCAGGCCCAGAGTTCAGGCCCCACGACCAGATGACCCCCTCCCCCTTCCCTCTCCCCCCCTCCCCGCAAAAAAAAAAAAAGAACCATTATGTACCATGTAATGTCCTTGAAACAGAAACTGGAACCAGATTTCATCATTGAAATATGATTGATGTGCTATCCCTAGGGAACTTCCATTTGCTCTGTTAAGCTTTCTTACTTTAATCACCGAGCTTTTAAATCATTTTATACTTATCATGGCTATTTTAGGTATCCAATAATTTGTTGTATGACAGAAATCAGAAGATAACATTGTAAATAATTTTACCATAAGATTTTCTAATGTTAGTTTTTCAAATGGTAAATTTCTCTTGTTGAAAATTATTAATACCTTTATTCAAAATTACTGAATTCTTCTTGTTGAAAATTCTCCTTATTTAAAATATGGAATTTAACCACATTCACTGGCACTTAAAAGTTATAAAAAGGATCTGTAGTGAAATATTCCTTCTTCTGTTCTACTGTGTATGTAACTTTGTTTTTTTTAACATAGTAGCAAGCAATTAATTTATGCATGTCTTTTACAGATTTTTTTTTTTTTTGGTGGAAAACCAGCATTTTTTTTAAACAGGCAAAGATAATTTATTTTCATAGAAACTCAGTGGGTAAAGACACTACAAGGAATTTATGTAGACCAGAAATAGATTATTGAATTAACCAGAATATCTCCATTGCCCACAACTTAACCATCTGATGAAGCATCCTTAAATGATACATTTCTCAAAAATTAATAAATAAAGCTAAGCAAGTCATCTATACAAAGCACTTACAAATATAAACCAGATTTTCAGCAAGTCTCAATAGTGGTTGAAAACCAGCAATTTTTTAATAAATATTTACTCTAATTGTTTATAAAAAGAAGTTGAGGCACAAAGATTTCAGTAATTGGCTCAGATCACAGAAGTGGCAAGTGAGATGGCCAGACTTCTCCTATGAGTTTTCCTGCTAAAAATCTACTGCATCTCAGATTTCAAAAGCCTAATGAATAATTTTTAGACTTCGTATCTCTTATTTTCTCTTTCCTCCAAAATTGGCTTCTACTACATAAATTCTCAGTCTGCATAGTTGGAATAAATATTATATGGTCAGCAGACTTACATTGTTATTAAGTAGTTATACAGAGAGATTACATACAATTCCATAAGTCAGGTTATGAATACAGTACTGCTTGATTCAACACCACTCCATCCATTGTTCCCATTTCCTTTTTTCATCCATATGTCAAGTTATGTAGTTCAGTTTTAAAATTTCTTAAGGATTATTGAATCCTTCTTGTATATTCTGTCTCATCTATGTTAAAATATTATGATCTAGTCAGGTGCCAGTGGCTCACACCTGTAATCCTAGCTACTCAGGAGGCTGAGATCTGAGGATCATGATTCAAAGCCAGCCTGGCCAGGAAAGTCTGTGGGACTCTTATCTCCAATAAACCACCAGAAAACCAGAAGTGGCACTGTGGCTCAAGTGATAGAGCGCTTGCCTTGAGCTGAAGAGCTGAGGGGCAGCACCCAAGCCCAGAGTTCAAGCCCCACAACTGACAAAAAATAAAAATTAAAAAAAAATTATGATCTAGGAGTGTTGCTCAGGGGTACATGTCCAAGGCCCTGAGTTCAATTATTAGCACTCCTTTTAACCCAAAAGAAAGCCCAAAATATCTCTCATTTTTGTCTACTACCACAAAACTCAAAGTCTGGTTCAGGCTGTCTTCACCACCTACCTCAGTAATTCCTTTTGGCTGTAGGATGGCCTCCTTAGCACTCAGCTCCCATTGTTAACTGATTTTACCATCACTGGAACAATCTTCTCTAACTTGTCACATGTCATTATTCTTCCCTATGGCTTTCTTCTACCTGTTTCATCAGGTTAAAATTACTCAACGTAACTTTCAAGGCTCTTGATAATCTGAAGCAGCTCTCCTTGTCTCTCTTAGTTTTCATCCATTTGAACATTTCTTCTCTTACCCCACAAATAATGCTTCATATTGTGACCTAATTACTCAAGTTTTTGTTTGTGTTACCTGGACTTTTTTCTCCTTCCATTACCAAAACCTATGGGTATCTTTCTGTTCCATCCCTGAGAATATTTTCTGCTGTTCCTCTTTTTTATGTAGTTAGTATGTCTTTCAACTGAAAATGTATACATATCCATAAGTTCATAGAACTCAAAGATACACAGTAGAGCCAGACATGGGTGGCTCACACCTGTAATTCTAGCTACTTGTTAGAATTGCCGTTGAAGCCCAGGCAGAAAAACTTTACAAGACCCCTTCTCAACAAAGAATTAGATGCAGTGGCACGTGCCTATCATCCTAACTACTGGGGAGCCTAACACAGGTGAACTGCGCCCAAGAGTGCGACCAGGCAGATGATGATACCCTGTCTCAAAAATGACCAGCAACAAACAGACTAGAAGTGTGGTTCAGCAGTGAGAATGCCTGTTTAGTAAGCATGAGACCCTAAGTTCAAGCCATATGACCAATAAAGAAAGGTGTACAGTGAGTGAAATGTAAGTCTTCCATCTCTTCCCACAGGTATTCTCTGCAGAGGTGATCACAGTTACATAGTTTCTTAAGTATTTTTCATAAACTTTTTCATCCATGTGCAAGGATATATATATATGTATTATACTTTTTCTATGCAAATGAAAATATACTCTATGCATTTTCTGAACCCTTTACCACTTAAACTTCATCTTGGAGAGCATCTCATATTAAGCAGGTAGAGCTACTGCATTCTTTATAAGCTGTGTGGTCCTTCCTGTGTATTCATAGACCCCTACTGAAAAAGTCATTTCAAATACTTTCGCTGGGGGCTGGGAAGGTGGCTCAGTGGTAGAGTGCTTGCCTTGCGTGCATCAGGTCCTGGGTTCGATTCCTTAGCACCACAGAAGCAGAAAAATCTGTAAGTGCCGTTGTAGAGCGTTCGCCTTGAGCTGAAATACTGAGGGACAGCACCCAGGCCCAGAGTTTGGGCCCCACGACCACCACCAACAATAACAAATATATGTGTGTGTGTGTGTGTATATGTATTACTTTCACTGTTATTGTTGACATTGCTACATTGAATAATTTGTAAACATCACTTCTATTTTATTAATTTATTTATTAATTTTCCAAAAGAGGAATTGGAGGTCCTATAATACATATTTAAAATTTGGGGGGAATACCAAAATCATTCATTATTATTACAGCTTATACCATTTTTCTTTCTTTTTTTGGCGGGGGGTCCGGTCGTGGGGCCTGAACTCTGGGCCTGAGTGCTCCCTCTCAGCTCTTCAGCTCAAGGCTAGTGCTCTACCACTTGAGCCACAGCGCCACTTCCGGCTTTTTTTCTTTTTGCTTATGTGGTGCTGAGGAATCGAACCCAGGGCCTCATGCATGCAAAGCAAGCGCTCTACCACTGAGCCACCTTCCCAGCCCCCCATTTTTCTTTCTGTCAAAATGTGTCTGTTTCCCTAAATGCTTCAGTGTTAGCTTTTGACATTGGCCAGTATAATAAGTTAAAAGCAGCACTTCTTTTAATTTGAGAAATTACACATAGGTTAAACATCTTATTTTAAAAGCATCTGTATAAATTATTTCTATAAACTACCATTTCATTGGACTTTGCTTACTTGTTGGTAAGAATTTTTTGTCTTAAGACTTTTGGCTTTGGTTGGGCGCAGGTGGCTCATACCTATAATCCTAGCTACTCAAGGAGGCTGAGATCTGAGGATCGTGGTTCAAAGCCACTCCAGGCAGAAAAGTCCCTGTGAGACTCTTATCTCCAATTAACCACTCAAAAACCCGAAGTAGCCCTGTGGCTCAAGTTGTAGAGCACTAGCTTTGAGTACAAAGCTTCTCAGGGATAGCACCCAGGCCCTGAGTTCAAGTCCCACAACTGACAATAAAAAGATTATTGGCCTTTTAATTAATCTTGTATGACAAGAATTTTTTTCCAGTTTTGTTAACTTTTTTTTAACCTTTTGTTTTCTCATATTAACTCTAGTGCTTATTGATGTTATGTTTATTATTATTATTATTAACCATAAAAAATAAAAAAGAAACAAGGTTTAATTTTACTCACATGACTACCCTCTTGTCCCTTCAAGTTTTTTAAGTGATCATCTGATTTGAAATATATTTGCATCTCCTGCTTATCAGAATTTTTATTTTGCCATATAATCCATGGAATCATTATCTAAATTCTCCAAACAGAATTTGTTGCTATTTTTCTTAAACTTTGAAGGAAATGGGAATTAGTTTAACAAGACAGTTGTTCATTTGTTTATTCCTTGTAGTCCTATGATAGGAGCTCATATCACGGAAGATATGTTGCTGTCACTGTACTATGAGCCCATATCCATAGTTTGCTGTACTGGAAAAAGAGTTATCCTTTTGCCTTGCTAAGACCTCAGATACCACATAAGGAGTAGAGTAAATGACCAGAAATAGAAGGAACATAGCTCTACTCAGATATAGTGCCCCTCCCATTTCTTTAATGAAATAGTACTCATAATCTCTTAGGTAAGTAAAATTTAGTAGAAATTTTAGAACAATTTTACATTTATACCCCGCTTTTCCTATTACTGACATTTTATACTATTATGCTAATATTTGTTGGGAACCAGTCTGGGTGAGGGGATGTAACTCAGTGTAGAGTACTTGCCTGGCATATATTAGGCCTTACGTTTGATTCTTAGCACCACAAAATAGTAACAACAGCCACAAGAGAGAAATGAGCCAACACTGATTCATTATTAACTGAAGTCTATACTTTATCCAGGTTTCTTTGCTTTTTACTTAGTGTTCTTTTTCTGAACCAGGAGATCACTTTACATTTAGTAATCATGTTGTCTTAGGCTCCTTTAAGAAGTCTGACAATTTGGCCGAGTGCTGGTGGCTCACACCTATAATCCTAGCTACTCTGAGGATATGAGGGTCTTGGTTTGAAGCTAGCCTGGGCAGAAAACTCCCTGTCGGCCTCTTATCTCCAATTAACCACTCAAAAATGGGAAGTGGTGCTGTGGCTCAAGTGGTAGAGCTCTAGCTTTAGTACAAATGAGGATCAGGGACAATGCCCAAGCCCAGAGTTTAAGCCCCACACACAAAAAAGTTTGACAATTTGACCATAATATATCATTTTTCTAAGAGCTAGAAAATTTAAAGTCAACAGCTCGATAGATTGATGTTTTAAATTCATTTCTCCTCTGCATTTCAGGCCCTCTGTGAATGTGCTCTCCAAACTCCTTATGACAGCTTAAAACTAGGGATGCTGTCTGTCCTTTCCACACTATCAGGGACCATTGCCATCAAGCATTACTTCAGCACAGCTCCAGGTAAGTAGAGATCATGTGCTAAATCCTTTATCTGTGTTGATGTCAAGTTGTTTCCTCTCTTAAGCTTTAAACCTAGAGAAGGTTATAATTTCATTATATGCTAATGATATATCTGAAGATGAGTTTTTAATTTATTTTTATTAGCATACATTAGTTACACAAAGGGCAATTTAATTGTAACATTTCTGTGCATGTATACAACAGTGGGTTCCAATCAATCCTGCCAACCCCTTTATGATACAATTTGGGGAGGTTTCATTGTTCTATTACTTGCTAGCAATCTATTGAAGGTGATTTCTTTTCTCTCTCTCTCTCTCTCTTTTTTTTTTTTGCCAGTCCTGGGGCTTGAACTAGGGAACTGGGCACTGTCCCTAAGCTTCTTTTTGCTCAAGGCTAGCACTCTACAACTTGAACCATAGTGCCACTTTTATGTGGGTCTGAGGAATCAAACCCAGGGCTTCATGCATGCAAGGCAAGCATTCTATGTGGCTTAGTAGCCACATTCCCAGCCCTGAAAGTGATTTCTTAACTCAAGAATATTATTCTTATGATTTGTCCTTTTTTAAATATATGTGACTGAAACATTTTTTAGAATGTTTAAAAAACTGGTTAGAAGCCAGGTGCTGGTAGCTTATGCCTGTAATCTTAGCTACTCAGAAGGCTGAGATCTGAGGATCGCACTACAAAGCCAGCCTGGCAGGAGGTTCATATCTGCAATTAACCAGCTAAAATCCAGAAGTGGAACTGTGGCTCAAAGTGGTAGAGTGCTAGCCTTAAGCAAAGAAGTTCAGGGACAGTGCCAGGCCTTGAGTTTAAGCCCGATGTCCAACAACAACAACAAGATTAAATTGATTAGCTGCCAAGCACCTACCTATAACTTAAGCTTGTAATCCTAGCTACTGGGGAGACTGATATCTGAAGATTGTGGTTTGAAGCCAGCCCTAACCGGGAAGCCTATGAGATTATTATCTCCACTTAGCAACCAAAAAGTTGGAAGTAGAGCTGTCTCAAGTGATAGAGCAGTGGCCTTAAGCAAAAATGCTCAAAGACAACACCTAGACCCTGAATTCAAGCCCCAGGACTGGCATCCCCTCCCCACAAAAGAAAACAAACCACAAAAATAAACTGGTTAGGTTTTACATATCTGATTCAAAGTTTCCCTTGAATTTAATCTTTCAAGGGTACTTTCAACCAAGTATTGTTGATTTTAAAAGAAAATGTTATATATTTCTTTTTATAAATTATCTCTCTGAAACATAATGAACACTTTATCCCAGATCAGTAATGCTTTCCAAAAATGATTGATTCAGAAAAGCCTTTATTAATGCCAACTGAAGAGCTTGTTTATATAACAGACTTAAGGCAAAGTTTTGGGTGGTTTTTATTTTTTCCTCCTGGGGCTTGAACTCAGGGCATGGATACTGTCCCTGAGCCACTTTATTCAGTCCATAACTCCATTTCCCATTTTTGGTGTTTGGGGGTGTTTTTGGTAGTTAATTGGAAATAAAATTCTCAAGGACTTTACTACCCCAGCTGACTTTGAATCATGATTTTCAGATCTCAGCCTCCTTGAGTAGCTAGGATTACAGTAATTAATCAAAGTTTTATTGAATCTCCATTGCCACTTTTTCTAGTCACTCAATATTAACTGAATATGCATTTATTTGACTTTTTAAAAAAATGTTATAGTATGAGTTTATTGGGTAAGGGAAATTTCCTGCCATGTAAATTTTGATAGGAAGACCTGATATTCTCGTCATAACTCCTTTATGGCTAGGATACAATTACATGCCCTGGACTCAAATAATCATGTCCATGCCACAGACTTAATTAAGAACCAGTAACAATAAGTGGGCACCAATAGTAGTCATAGTGTTGCAGTGACCATAGCAACATCCACTTTACAGAATACATTATAACAGTGGATGTTTGCCATGTCTGGTACCTATGAAAGCTGTGTAAGCAAGTAATGAGTAACAAGGGATTCAGCTTCTTCATTGCACTAATCATGTGCATGGTTCGGGGCTGTGAACTTTTACTCTCAGGCCTCTCCTTTTTTCCCATTTTCTGACCTTAATATTTCAGTCTTTCTAGTGATTCTTTAAGGTACTTTCTATCAGTTACTGGTTGATACATAACAAATTATCCCAAAACTCAGTAGCTTAAATATATGGCCATTTTATTTGCTCTTATTCCATGAGTCAGCTGTTTTGATTGAACTTGGCTTTTCTATTGATCTCCCCTTGAGGTCACTTTTGACATCGGGAACTTTAATCAGGATGGTCAAAGATGGCCTCTATTTATAGAAGAGATACCTTAATTCTTCATGTAACTTCATGTACAGAGAGACAGCTTGGGCTTATGCTAGCTGTAACCAGAAAAAAAGCAAACCACCAGTATACAGCTCTTTTCAATCTTTTGTTTGCATCATGTTTTCATTTATTGTCTTGTTGACCAAAGCAAGTCACATGACCAAGTACAGATAGGTGGGGAAATAATAATTCTTGATGTGTTGGGAATGTCTATTTGGAGTATAAGAGAGATTTCACAGCCTTTTTAAAAAATAATTAATCTATTATATATATCCAGTGTTCTTTCAGTGAATTATTTTTCTGCATAAATGAGAGCCAGTCATTCATCTCCTTAGCTTATAATATTCTTAACTAACATCACACTTTAAAAGAGCTGTTTAGCTAAGTCTTGATAGTATCTTAAAATTTATAAGAACCTTCTCATGCAGGTACGTACAAGGGAGCTTGGCTTACAGTTTAGAGATGCATCCAAAGTCATATATAAGTATGTTTGTGTAGATATATATTTACATGTATACATATGTATGTATGCATATATATATATATATATGTTTTGACTCCATTTTTTTTTCAGTTTAATTTTATTTTATTTGTGAACATACTGTACAGAGGGGTTACAATTACATGGGCAGGATAATGCGTACATTTCTTACCAAGCATTGCAGCCTCCTCCTTTGTTTACCCTTCACATCCCTTCCCAGCCTCCCCCCTCCCCCCCAATCCCAATCATTCTCCTCTCCCCCGCCCCCCCCCCCCCCCCCACCGACGTTGTAAAGCTCGTTTTGGACATGACAACTTGTACTTCTCATTGTTGCAACAGGTCCACCTGTATCCTTAAACAACTGGTTTTTCCCCATCTCCTCCACAAGTTATACTGACATCAAATATAGTGAAAGCAGGGGTTATACTGTGGGGGAGGGACATGCAAAGCAACAAAGAAATAATCTTATAAATGCGTTAGAAACACATGCATGAAAGAAAAAAAACATTAAGATACATATCTAAGGGTTCATTTTCCTGACATCACATTATCTGACCTTTTCCGCTTGACTCGTACATATACTAGATATTGCAAATAAGTGAAACCATGGGACCTATGTTTCTTTTGACTCCATTTTTTAAAAATACCAGACTAACCTGAATACATGATGGCTTTCAAAATATTTTTAATCTAAGTATTTGTGTGAGCTTATAATACATACTCTTAAAGCAAAAAATATGTCCTTCCATTGAAAATTGTTAAAACGTAGTTTGTATAGAATTAAGCAAAAGATAAGTGCTAAACTAGGTAATGTTCATAGGAGATAAAAAGCCAAAGATTATTCCTATAAATTTGTAGCTATTGATGAGCACTTTATCATTATAACCAGAAATAGTAAATAAAATAAAATTTAATATTTCTAAATTGTCAGTAATATATTTTATGTATTTAAGATGTTCAGTATCATATATCTAAAAATGCACATTAAAACACTAAAATAATATTGATCCTTCAGATGCAAAGATTCAGAAGTGTGATGATATGCTATGATGACAAGCATGTGGGTAGCAGTCACTTTGTTTCATTGCTGATGTGGGTGTAAATTACTAACTCTGCATAGGCAGTTTAGAAATACTCATTAAATTACAATTGACTCTGAAATTCCATTTCTGGGAATTTGTCTTACTTATATTCACAAATTGAGTAATGATATGTGTACAGGATTACTGATAGCATCAATTTATGTAATAGCAAATATTGTTCATTAATGGAGGGTGTCATAGCATCATAAAAAGGTCCATTGACAGGGAGCTCATTAAAGAAATTATGATAGATCACTGCATTAGGAATTGGTGCAATCTATTAAAATAAATGACATGGAACAATCTCCATAAAGAAATATTTGAAGAAAATTATAACAAGGTGTAAAATCAGATATAAAAAAGGGGAACAAAAGGAAAAAATGAAAGAAGTTCTGCTCACCTTTTCCTACACTGTCTGGAATAATCTTGGTTTATGTCTGTTGTAATTATTGGTAGTGTTCCCTTTATTCTCGAAAGAAATGTGGTCCCTCATGGAGTTAAAGACAGGGTTGACAGGAATTATCAGAGGAAAGGAAGACAGAAATGAAGAAGACTTTCTAAGAAACTGAACAAGCTTAATTGTCCTGATTATTCTTGAAGCTCTCCCAGTTGTAACTGAAAACTTCTCTCTTATAAATTAAAATCCACACTATAGAATTTCAAATGTGAATTTGAAAAAGTGCTATACTCTGTAGCACCCTTACCTTTAAAGTATAAAGTATAGGAGTAACGTATAACTAACTAGGTTTATGACCTTAATGGAAGGATACTGAAAGTTTTTGAACTGATTTCTTCTGTAAAAAGAGTATTATATTACATGATCCCCAAATCATTCCAGTTCTATAATCATGAATTCTTATGTAAACTTTTTAAGGTATAATATATCAACAATTTGGAGGTGAAGAAAAACAAACAAATAATTCTTTTTTATCTCTCTTGAAGGAGTGGTTTTACCTGACAAGAAGATGACAAGGGCATCCATTTTTATCAGAATCCATTAGCACTCCGAGGATAGCCAATGGTTGTTTTGGCTTTGATTTCAAAACTGTAATGATGGCATGGTACTGTGTTACTGTAATAGGCATGTGCCTATGTTAAGTACTTTTGACAGAGGAAACAAATGATGATATATATTGGTAATAGGGTTAAGGTAGAAAATTTTATTTATTCATTTATTTGTTTATTTATATTGGTCATGGGGCTTGAACTCAGGGCCTGGGTGCTGCCCCTAAGCTCTTTTGTTCAAGGCTAGCACTCTTACCAGTTTGAGACACAGTGCCCTTCCAGTTTTCTGATGGTTAATTGGAGATAAGTGTCTCACCTACTTTCTGGCCCGGGCTGGCTTTGAACCAGGACCCTCAGATCTTAGCTTCCTGAGTAGCTAGAATTACAGGCATGAGCTACCAGCACCGGGCTAAAATAAAAAAAATTATTAAAAATTCATGTTAGAGATTTTCTCAAAACTAAAGAACACTAAACTATGAACCAATTATTTTTAAACTACATAATTCAATTATAACCTAATCTATATTTGTTTTTCTCTTGTTTAGGAAATGTAGGTTCTTCCCCCAGATCCTCTGATTTAGTCAAATTAGCCCAAGAGTGCTGTTACCATAATAACAGAGGCATTGCAGTACATGGAGTTAGAGTCCTAACTAACATAACCGTCTCTTGTCAAGAAAAAGGTGAGCTTGGCCAGTACCAACATGTATGGACTTTTAATTGGAATTTGGACAGCATTCTATGTGTATTTGTGGGGTTTTTTTGTTTGTTTGTTTGGTTTTTGTTTTGCCTATGGACAGTTACCTCCTAAAATAGTCTTAGAGTCTAAGCTTTTTAACCTTGTTAAAAAAGAAAATCTGAGGTCATGGGATTGGGGTTGTGAATTTGAGAGATTTTATAAAAAATTTGACCATTCCCTCCCACCACTTAACCTTTACATGTGGGTATTGTGGATAGGGACTACCTAGAACTCTATCCTCAGGTTATAATACATCCATTTATACTATTCATCAGTATAGAAAAATTACTTAGGTTATCAGGGTACTCAAATAGCAACTAGTTTAATTTAGAACCATTTGGACTAGCATAACAATGCAAATTTAGTTTTTATAGAATTTCCATGTCTAGATAGATGTAAAGATTTGCATCATCAAGATGGCTCTGCAAAGAAAACAATGTACATATTTTATTGTATTTCTGACATATTTTGCCTATTGATTTGAAAAAAATTTTTTATGTTCAGGAATAGAGAGTGCATTTTGGACAATCCATCTGTTTCAGTACTTATTTGTTCTTCTTGAAGATCACAAGCTCCCTACCAGCCTTCAGCACTGCTTGGACCCTGACCTTTTTTTGGTCTTTACACTGTTACAAGGCTCCTGTACTAACTCAGGAAACATTTCTCAAAGTTATATGTTGATTCTCATTTGAATAGTTAAGCCTATTTTATCTAGAACATAGTAAGGATATTTCTTCCATGTAATATAAGTAACTGCTATATGTTCTCAGTGCTGGCATATATTAACCTAAATATAGACAACTAAGGCATTTCATAATGTTCTAGACCCTACAGAGAAATTATCACTCTGTGGTAGCGAAAAGATGCTATAATACTGCTATTATATTAACCACCTAAAGGACTCTTTCCTTAATATTAAATTTTAAACATTAATAAGATTATATAAAGTCTTTATTACTTTTTAAAAGTGGATAGCTTCCATTAGAAGCAGAAAAATATTATCTCCAAGGTGAAAGTGGACCTGTATAACTTATGTATCATCAGAATATTAACATATACTACATAGTTTTCTGTTCCTTATATTTTTCTTAGTTGAGCTGATACTGCTGTTTCCATTCTGCTTTATTTTTTTAGCTTTGTGACTTAAGCTTATGATTTCATGTTTTTATATTTTTATAATATTCAATACAGTGGTAGAAATAAGAAATCTTTACATTTCAGAACAAATGTTCCCCCTGTTTTTTCAAGGAAGGTTAGCCTTACACATTTGTTTCCTAGATCCTTTCTTTGTTTTAGTTTTGCTTTGTTTTGTGCCAGTCATGGGGCTTGAACTCTGGGGCCTGGTCACTGTCTCTGAGCTGCTTTTGCTCAAGGCTAGCACTGGACCACTTGAGCCACAGCACCAATTCTGGCTTTTTCTGTTTATGTAGTGCTGAGGAATCGAACCCAGGGCTTCATGCATGCTAGGCAAGCATTCTACCACTAAGCCACATTCCCAGCCGATTTCCTAGATCTTAGACTCCTTAATGTTTTTCCCTTGCGTGAATGTTTATGTTTTACTCCTCTATTTGGTCACCCTAAAACTTAGTATTTCTCTTCTAGATCTTTTGGCACTGGAGCAAGATGCTGTCTTTGGCCTAGAATCTCTTCTGGTACTTTGTAGTCAAGATGATAGCCCAGGTGCTCAAGCCACTTTAAAGGTGAAAACATCACTTAGTATAATGCCTGGTTTCATGGCCTAAACTAGGGATTGGCAAACGCTAGTTTGTAGGCCATCTACTATCCATGGTATCTACTACATCCTAACATCATAGGGCAAAAATAACATGGACAAATGTTTAAGGTAAAGAGAGGATGATTTCCATATTTCAATAAGACTATTAACAAAAATAAGCAGCAGGCTAAATTTGACCCTGAGGCCAAATTACCCAGGACTACATCTACCCTTGATCTTCACTTTGGAAAGATTCCCTTAAGACCACAATATATTTACTTTTTTAATTTTTTTAAAAGCAAAAACATACTTTTTTGCCAACAGTTGTAAGTTTTCACAAAACATTAGACTCTATGCATTAGGACATTAGTAGATGATCAAGGAAATTCCTATATGAGAGACACTTCCTTCAAGTAGTAAGATACTGACACATAAATAAAGGTGTAATTCTAAGGAGAAGATAAGAATTGGGAGTGAATAATTTCAACCAAGATTATTAGGAGAGATTTCCATAGGTAGATGTTAATATGAGGTGAGCCTTGAAAAATTTATTAATTAGAATTTCAGTAGTAAGTCTTGCCCATGTAATTGTAACCCCTCTGTATGGTATTTTCACAATTAAAAAAAAAAGAATTTCAATAGTGAGAAAAGATTGAACCCAGAGGGGCACTGTTGTAAAAGATCTGAAAGCAGGAATGTGCCTTTTATATTGGAACAATGGAGAGTAGCCTCATGTGACTAGATAATATTATAGAAGATTGGAAAAGTAATCATGGGAGATAACATACACCATGTTTAAAAAGAACATGGACTTGATCCTGTATATAGTGAAAAGATATTAAAAAATTTAAGTAATAGGTGTGTTCTAATCTTTGTTGTAATTAGCATTATTTGTTAAGATTGTTAATGTGCCCAACATTTGAAGGCTTACATCTATGTATGGCTTTATGAAATTGTTCTTGTTCTCCCTCCTAATACTTACCAGAAAATTAAGGCTCAGAGATATAAAGAACTCATTCAAAGCTATCCATCTAGTTAACCAGGGGTGAGATGAGCCTCAGCCCTTTGAGTGTCAGACTCTCACACTTGGGATGTGTTGGACACCACACAGATGACAACCAGTGGTAGTGTGTAGGATAATTGTTGGGATCATCTCTTCAAGAAATTAGATAAGAAACATATATGTTGTGATAGAAGAATGGAAAGGAGTTAATAGTGGATATAAGAGACTTGACAAAAGAATCAGCTGTGGAAAAGTAAAGGGATTTCTGATTTTCTGGTTTTCTTAGCTGTGTGATTAGCCATGTCATAAACTGGGCCTGAGGGGAAGGGTTATACAATAAATAGTTGGTTTTTAGACTTCAGTTGAAAAATGAAAAAATAGTCACCAAGGGCTACTGTGCATGCTCACAAAAGTTAATTCATTACATTTGGAATCATCTAGGAATCTGCTGGGGTGGGAGGGTGGGGGTTGTTGTTTTGTTTTTTTTGGTGCCAGTACTGGGGTTTAAACTCAGGACCTGGGCTCTGTCCTTTAGCTTTTTGGCTCAAGATTGGCACTCTACCACTTGAGCTACAGTTCTACTTCTGACTTTCGATGGTTTCTGCCCAGACTGGCTTTGAACCACATTCTCAAATGTCAGCCTCCTGAGCAGTGAGATTACAGATGTAAGTCACCAATGCCCAACTGAGTATGTGCAGCTTTTAAATCATCCTGAGAGATGCTGGCATCCTGAACCACTTCAGTGGCACTTCTTGAAAAGTAGTAAAAGTATACTGTGTTGACATTTTATTTGGCATAAATTTGACTCTTTAGCATTAATTTGTCTGATTTTCATCTTTTCTTTAATAGTCTTAGGTTGAAATGAGTAGTTGAAATGCTGATGTACAGTTCTAACTTCACAATCCTAATGAAGGATTCAATATGCCATGTTTGTTATGAAGAAAAACATTACTGCTTGATGCTTGTTTTTTGTCTTCACTAACTTATATACTGTTCTTTATAAGTTTCACTTAATATCTTCAAAGTGTAACTAGTCCATTTTCTTCTTGGTGTGCAGATTGCTTTTAATTGTATGGTGAACTTGGCCAAGGGCCGGCCCCATCTTAGCCAGTCAGTTGTGGAAACTTTGCTGACTCAGTTACACAGTGCTCAGGATGCCCATCGGATCCTGATGTGCCATTGCCTGGCAGCCATTGCCATGCAGCTGCCAGTGTTGGGTGATGGAATGCTTGGTGACCTCATGGAACTCTACAAGGTCATTGGGCGATCAGCCACAGACAAACAACAGGAACTTCTGGTATTGTTTTAAACCTGCTTCAAATGACTAGAATCTGATTTAATGGGAGATGTTTAGAGAAATCATTACTACTGTTGATGTTACTTAAAAAGCCAAACTAGTCCCATGCTGGTGTTTCATACCTGTAATCAGAGTAACTCAGGAGGTTGAGATCTGATGATCAGTGCAAAGCCAGCCTGGACAGGAAAGTCTGTGAGATGCTTTTTTCCAGTTAACCAGCAAATGCCAAAAATAGCAATGGCTCAAGTGAGAGACTGCTAGCCTTGTGGAAAAAAGCTCAGGGACAGCACAGGCCCCTGAGTTCAAGCTTTAGGACTATCACAAACAAAAGCAAAATAAGCAGACCAAAAGCATGCTGAAGTTAAAATAAAATTGGTGCACTTCGATCTAGCTCAGTAATAGAATGCTTGTTAGAATCTGCAAGGTCCTGAGTTGGATCCCCAATGACACACACACACACACGCACGCACGCACGCACGCACGCACGCACGCACGCGCACGCACATAAATGATAAACTAGTACCAGGATTTTTTTTAACTACAAATTCTTCTTTTAACCTAGCTTAATAGTGTTAGCAGTACAGTTGAAGCCCTAGTGTATCTTCTTAATCATTTTCTCTTCCCTTCTCCCAAGAACCAACCATCCTGAGTTTGGTGTTTTTTATTATCCCATGCATACTATACTTTTGGGACCTAAGCATACATCGTTTATTTTATTTTTTTTGGGAGGGGGTCCAATTGTGGGGCCTGAACTCTGGTCCTGTGCGCTGTCCCTCAGCTGTTCAGCTCAAGGCTAGCACTCTACCACTTGAGCCATAGCACCACTTTTGGATTTTTCTGCTTATGTGGTGCTGAGGAATCAAACCCAGGACCTTATGCATGCAAGGCAAACGCTCTACCACTGAGCCACCTTCCCAGCCCCTCATACATCCTTTAGTAATGTACAGTATTACTTTGTTCATTTTAGCTTTAAATAAATGTTAAGCTACAAGTAATCTTTTATAGCTTATCTGTTTTGTAATCTGTATTATCTCTATCCATTTCATTGATAAATTATCTCACTATATAACTATATTATCATTTATCCTAATTTATGAGAGTTCTTTCTAATTATCTACTTTTATAAACAGCCTTTTTAGACAGTGGAATAAGTTACTTAATGATGTCAAAATGGAAAATTAAGTATCAATGGAAAACAAATGGGTTCTTTTTTTAGGAGCCGTAATTCATTTCTCTTTTGGGTAGGTTATCTAATTATTGGATAAAGTTATGTTATTTTCTTTTTGCCCAATGTTAGGTGAGTTTGGCCACTGTGATTTTTGTAGCTAGCCAGAAAGCATTATCTGCTGAAGTAAAGGCAGTAATTAAGCAGCAGCTTGAAAGTGTCTCCAATGGATGGACTGTGTACCGAATTGCCAGACAGGCTTCCAGAATGGTATGTATATCCCTTCTGAATGACCAGGATTCATGGAAATTTCACATCATATACCATAAGTCATTAATTCTAAATATATAGGAGAAAAGAGTAATTTTTTAACCTTTCTCATAAAAAATGGTGTGTTGTTACGAGTAAGTGAAAGTGTGAGTGCTGTCTGACTGTTGTGTGTTAATACCACTCTCATTTTGCCCTGTGTCGTTTGACCTGAGGCTGTTTCTATTCCTTTATCAACACAGAACATCTTTTCTCCCCAAACTGAACTTGCTTTAGTAGAAATGGGAAACTTTTAGTATGTTGTAATCTTCTGAGTCATGTGAAAAGCCTAACAATTTTTATTAGCTATCTACTACAAAGCATCGCTAGTACAGAAATCCTCTAAGGATAAGTCTGGACAACAAAATTTAAAACACTTTTACTCTGGGTGTTCTCTGTTTTAGTTTTCTCAATAAGGGAGGGGCCTTATTGGCAGCCAATTCTTCATTGTAACAAACTATCCCAACCACTTCAGGACATTGACCTTCCCCTACCTGGAGGCATCAAATAACACCCCAGTAAATTAGCTCATCTAGAATGATAGACAATGCATTTTAAACTAAAATTCTAGACTTGGATTATAGTTAATTCTAGTAATTTTCTCTTTGGAACTGTTTTAGTAAAAGAACCTTAGGTATTATGTTACATAAAAGCAGCTCAGTATATGTTCACTGAAGAAATTTAGAATGAGTCTCAAAGAATTATGTAATATGAAGAGTGATTGTACAAGTGTATGCAGAGTATGGACTTAATCTTTTACCTGCTACATCAACTCTTTTACATATAAGAACTTCATCATGTGCTTCTTCAATTTCTGGTTTTTTAGGGCAATCATGACATGGCCCGAGAGCTTTATCAGAGTCTGCTGACTCAGGTGGCCTCAGAACACTTCTACTTCTGGCTGAATAGTTTGAAGGAGTTCTCACATGCAGAGCAGTGTCTCGCTGGGTTGCAGGAAGAGAATTACAGTTCAGCACTTTCTTGCATTGCTGACTCTTTAAAATTCTACCATAAAGGGATTGCTTCCTTAACCGTGAGTATTCTTACTTAATTCCATCTTGGGAGTAATAATTTGTATAAATCTCCCCCTTTTCTTCAGTTAATCCAGTTTGACTATTTGGAAACCTGCTAGCAGGTATAGTTATCAACATCAGTATAATAAATAGGAATAAAGTAATAAATTGGTCATGGATATAAGTCTTAACCCTTCCACCCTAACCTTTTTAATATTCATAGACTGTTGAAAGTTTTCATGTTGTTTTTCAATAAAGTTCTGGGTACATATGTGAGGAAAATTGAATTCATGCAGAAAGGACTCATGGCATGGAGATACAACCTATTTTCTCCAGGTGTCCATTAGTCATCTCCCAACCTAGCCCAGTGTCATCCTCAGACATAAACCTCTGACCTTATCTCATACATTGCTGTTCATCATGAAGTAAAACAGAGCCTCTGGCCCTCCCCTCCTTCCCCTCCTCCTAGTAGTCAGGATTGAACCCAGGGCCTTACACATGCTGGGTAAGCACTTTACCACTGAGTATCATATCCAGTACATTTCTAAGCTTTTTAAAGCAAAGATTCTAGTGGACTGCTTTTTTACCCTTTTGATATCCAAATTAACAATCAGTCATCTACAACTTTTATTTTCACTGTCATCAAGAAGATGAGAGAAAAATAGAGGTGGTAGATTCTTAACATTCCTAACTTTTGAAAATTTTACTAATTTCTTGGAGTTCTATTCCTAAATAAGAATCTGTTTCCCTAAAATGAACACTTTCTACATTAATCAAAAGGCATTTTTCCCCTAAGAGTAAAGAGGTTTTATAATCAACATCCAGCTTTTGTTTTAGTACTGGGTTTCAACTCAAGGCCTCATACTTGCCAGGCAGGTGTTCTACCATATGTGCCATTCTTCCTGCCTTTTTTTCTTTTTTGTGGGTCCAGTCGCAGGCCTGGACTCTGGGCCTGGACACTGTCCCTCAGCTCTTCACCTCAAGGCTAGCGCTCTACCACTTGAGCCACAACGCCACTTCCGGCTTTTTTTTTTCTGCTTATGTGGTGCTGAGGAATTAAACCCAGGGCCTCATGCATGCAAGGCAAGCGCTCTACAACTGAGCCACCTTCCCAGCCCTCTTCCTGCCTTTTTGTGTTAGTCTTTAAGGTAGTCTTTCTTTATATGCAAGCTGGCCTGGACTGTGATCATCCTCCCTGTGCTTCTCCACACCTCTAGAATAACTGCTGTGGATCAAGTGCCCAGCCAGTCTTGTGAACTTTTTTTTTTCTCCCCAGGCTGTCTTTAAACCATGATTTTCCAATCCCCCAAGTAGCTAGGATTACAGACTAGAGGGAGCCACATGCCTGGCAACATAGAACATTTTAAAAGTGTTTCAACACAACTTTAAAAACGATATATGGGAGACACAAACTTTAATACTTGTGTATATGCATGTATATCATACCTAAAGTAATGGTGGGCTATCGCAAAAGTAGTACTTCGAGTGAGAGCAAAAGATAGATAGCATAAAATAGACAAATACAGACTTCTATAGGGAGCATATATTTTGAGTTGATTTTTTTTTTTTTTTTTTTGGACAGTCATGGGGCTTGAACCTGAGGCTTGGGTGCTGTCCCAGAGCTCTTTTTCTCAAGGCTAGCACTCTACCACTTTGAGCCCAGTACCACTTCCAGTTTTCTGGTGATTCATTGGAGATAAGAGTCTCACTGCCTTTCCTGCCTGGTCTGGCTTTGAACTGCAATCCTCAGATCTCTAGACTCTTTATAGCATGGATTATAGGCATCAGCCAGTAGCACCCAGCTTGAATTGATTCTTATTAGAATTGATTCACAGCTCTTTAAAACAGGAATTCATAAAGGTTCCTGCTTTTGTTGTTCGTTTTGTTTTTAGTTGGGTGGGCAATCAGAACTCATTCTGAGCTCATGCCTCACTGGGAACTATATTCCTAGTCCTCTCCATTTTAAAGGGTAGCATTGACTACTATGATTCTTCTTATTATCTTACTACTCTGAGAAATATTGTTGTTTTCTATATTAGGATAATAAATATCACAGAAAAATTTAAAGGTGTAATTTTTGGTTCAGATCAATAAAAGCATTTCATTTTCTGGCTTATGTGGAACAGAAAACTATTAATCATTCACTGTAATAACGATAAAAATTGTCAAGCAGTTAAGACACACAAAACAGTGGTATACCTGGAATTAATTTTTGAAAAGTATTGAATAGTATTCTTTGTGTATATATATATAGATATATTTGAAGAGTGTTAATAGTAATTAAAGACTATTCGGGCATAGGCAGTACTGACAGATGAGCCACTGAGAATTAGTCTGGTTCTGCTATTCATACAGTGTGACTTGAGGTGGATCATTGGATCTCAGAATTTTCTCCTTTTGAAATGGGAATTCTATCCACCAAATCATAAGAACTTTCTGTACACCAAGCTCTGCGCTTTGAGGATTAACTAAATAACAGGAGCCATGCATTATGACGTGTACCTGTTGTCTCAACTACGTGGGGCTAAAGATGAAACAGTCACGTGGAGCCAGGTTTAAGGCCAACCTGGGAGACATAGTGAGACTCTGATCTCAAGAATTAAATAAATAAATAAATGTTTTCTTCTTGTGAGTTTTCTTAGAGAGGAAAGCAGTATGATCCTTACTGTCCTTGGAAACTTCCAGCATTTTTAGTTGTACTGTACTTCTTAGGACTATTTTGTGTGAGGAGGAGGTTGAGCATTTTTGTTTGATCTGTTTACTTGACAAGACTTGAAGAAGGGAGCTTTCTATCTTTTTAACTAGATATAAGCATCGACTGCCCCTTAGCTTCCTGACATAAATTATTTTGACCCAAGATCATATGGCTTTAAGACTCAAGCTTCTCATCTGCTTCAGTTCAGGATTCTGTGCCTAGAGGACCCCATAACAACATTAGATGTTTAATTTGCTCGTATAGTGACTTAACTAGAGTTATCTTCCTTCTTAGAAATAAAAAACTGGGAGGTGGGGTTTTGACTCAGTGGCAAAGCACTTGCTTAAAATGGGCACAACTCTGGGTTCAGCCCTCAGCACACTATGAAAAATTTTTTTTAAAAAAAACAGAGTCTAACCCATAGAAACAGCTACCAGCCTCAAAGTCAGAAGTCTTTGACCCTTATGAAAGATGTCTTTTTTTTCTATTTTCTTTTTAGTTGTAAATCAGAATAGCAACAATTTTCTCTCAAACTGTATCTTGCTTTTAATATTCTAATTTATGTTAGAACACTATTGCCAGTGTTTTTATATATCAATGTATTCATATATATTTACTTGTACCCTCGTCACTTATGAAGTTAATAAGCAATAAATTAAATATAGCATGTAGCAACTCAAAAGAGGAAGAAGAAGGGTAAGGGAATTTGTTTTCATACAAGAACAGTTCAGCTCTCATCTAAGAAATTTAAGACAGTTGAATTGGTGGGGTGCCAGTGGTTCATGCCTATAATCTTAACTAAGAAAGCTGAGATCTGACATTTGCAGTTAAAAACCAGTCTGGGCAGAAAGTCTATGAGTCTCTTCCCATTTAACCACCAAAAATCTAGAAGTAGAGCTGTGACTCAAGTGGTAGAATTCCCATCTTGAAGGAGAAAGAGCTAAGGGACACTGCCCGAGCCCTGAGTTCAAACCCCAGTACTGGCATCAAAATTGATTGATTGATAGATTGAATTAATAAATAAAACAATTAAACTGTTAATCATTAATATCTTAGGATGTACTGTTTTATAATTAGATCACAACCTTCTAAAGGTTGAAAACCATAAAGTAAATATTTGAGTATAGTTACTATCTTTACATTATATAAAGGCTTTTTGCACTTTGAGAGGTATATTAGGCAAGTAGACATTTTTATAAATAGTCTTTGCATGTTCAGTGCAAATCTGGGATACTGATATGTGGGGGGAGGGGTGGTTGTTTTTTGCTAAAATCAGGATTTGAAGTAAGAGCCTTACACTTATTTGGCTTGTTTGATGGCTGGACTTCTACCACTAGAGCCACACCTCAAGCCCTATTTTTTTTGCTGATTATTTTGGAGATGAAGTCTCCAGATTTTTCTACCTGGGCTGACCTGAAACATCAACCTCCAGAACTCAGCCTCCTGTGTAGCTAGGATTATGGGTGTAAGCTACCAGCATCTGGCTTCCTGTGAACCAGGATTGGGTAAATATATAGATGCAAGCCCTCCAAATTTATAAGGCCAACTTTATACTTCTCACTCTCCCATCTTCCTATTGTTTTTACTTTATACTAAATATATATATATATTTTTTATTCCAGGCTGCCAGTACACCACTGAATCCTTTAAGTTTTCAGTGCGAATTTGTAAAACTCAGGATTGATCTTCTCCAAGCCTTCTCTCAACTTATCTGTACTTGTAATAGTCTCAAGACAAGCCCTCCACCTGCAATTGCCACAACAATTGCCATGACCTTAGGAAATGACCTTCAGAGATGTGGTCGAATCTCCAATCAGGCATGTCTTAACTCTCTCTTCAGTGCAATTTTCATTTATACTCTTGGGGCTTCTGAGGTTGTGAAATGAAAAAAAATGTGTAAAGTTAAAAATCAGTGGTTTGACTCAGACATAGTGTCAAATATTTTAACTCTCTCATCTTGCCAAATAGACTGATGTGTTTTGGGATTAATGATGCCTTGGTGGGTACTACATGTTATATCAAGAGATTGGAATTACAACGAGGAAGTTTGGAATGCTTATAACTATTCTAGTGGAAGTTACAAATGTAACTAAAGATAATGTATAAATTATAATCTTGTGAACATTTGTAGTATCACTTACAAAAATGAACAATGATATATGATTTTTCTTTGAATTTTTGTTGAAGATTTTTCTGTTTTTATATTTTTAATGTAATTTCTGTTTTTATATTTTTAATGTAATAACAGTTAGATGTTTATCATTGTTCATTTCTTTTCCTTCTTTATAGATGAAGCAATCCATGGAAGAATTCCGAAGCCTTGCTTCAAGATATGGGGATCTTTATCAGGCATCTTTTGATGCCGATTCAGCAACTCTAAGGAATGTAGAATTGTATCCTAACTTGCTTCATTCTTATTCTTGGGAAACTATCTTTTAAATGTAAACCATAACCAAAATATATTGATAACTTTCAAGTTTATTATAATAATTTCATACTTTGAAATTTAGAATTTTTACTTTTTTAGCATATACCAGGATTTTAAAACAAAATGGTGATTCAGTGGTAGTCTTTTTCCCCCTCAAGGAAAAACATCCACAGCCTGAATTCTTCCAGGCACTGAGGTATATGCCTGTAGTCCCAGCTACTTAGGTGGCTATGATGAGAGGATCACTTGAAACTAGGAGTTTCAGTCTAACCTGAAGAACATAGAAAGACCTCATCTCCAAAATAGCAACAAAAAACGAAGCAAGCCTGTGTTCTATTAATGTATTGTTTGTGCTGATTTGAGCTACAAATCACCACACATTTTCCCACCAGAAAAACTTTTTGCCTCAGCTTGCTTTCTTTGTGGCTACCAAGACCTAGTTATCATTGCCTTTATTTACTTACGATCTATTCAATACTTTCGGTCATCATTTTAGTCCCCTAAGTCCTCTTTAAGTTCTTCATATTTCCTTATTAGCAACTTCAGATCACTTGTGAAGGAAGAAAGAAATACTTTGAAGTTGTAGGACCTGCCAGTCAGTAGTTCTTGGCTTTTGTTTTACTGACTGAAACCATACATGCTTTGCACTCTCCACCCTATAAAATGCAAATGTTGCCAGGTGCCAGTGTCTGATGCCTGTAATCCTGGCCACTCAGGAGGTCGAGATGTGAGGGTTGTGGTTTGAAGCCAGCCTGGGCAGGAAAGTCCCATGAGACATTTTTTATCTCCAGTTAATCACCAAAAAGCCAGAAATGGGGCTGTGGCTCAAGTGGTAAGAACAACAACTAGGCCCTGAGTTCAAGTACCAGTACGCACACAGAATTTGTCCATATATACTCCAAAATAATTTTAAGACAGTTGACAGATCCTTTGAGCCCCTACTTAGGAACTATCAAGGTAAAGGCACTATAGATAATAGGGTTTTTTTTCTTTTGGTTTTAAAAATCTGCCCATGAAACTTCTGTTGTTTCTTTGCTTCAAATTCTTATGAAGAACTGCTGTAATTAATACATAAAAACAAAGTTGCTATGAATGAATTTCACATTGAGCAGCCTCTGAAATATTCTTCCTGGAACAGAATTTGAGGATCACTAGTATAAGCAATATACATCATTTGAAAGGAAAAAATACAGCTCCACACTATTTGAGCTTGTAACATGATCACTTTCTCTAAAAGCTGTCCTCCTCTTGACTTTAATATTCAGGTAATATAAAATATAAAATGGATTTCCGTGTTTTCAAATCTAACTTAACATTAATTTAGACAGCAGCAGAGCTGTTTGCTGATATCTCATGCAATAGAAGCCCTAATTTTGGATCCAGAATCAGCAAGGTAATTTCCATAATAGTTTGTATTATAATTTTTTTTGAGGGGGGGGGGGTCCAGTTGTAGGGCCTGAACTCTGGGCCTGGATGCTGTCTCTCAGCTCTTCAGCTCACAGCTAGTGCTCTACCACTTGAACCAAAGTGCTACTTCCGGCCTTTTCTGTTTATGTGGTGCTGAGGAATCGAATCCAGGGCCTCATGCATGCGAGGCAAGCGCTCTACCACTAAGACACCTTCCTAGCCCTAAAATATTTTCAAATGTTATTTTGCCTTTCTTTCACAACAGTGTCTTAGAAAAGGAATTTTAGAAGAAAAAGCAAAAAGGATGTAGTCTTCTTAACACTTGCCCAGGGTCATATAATTAGAAAACATAAATTTTCTGACTCCAGATGGTCTAGGGAAATATCCTGCCTTTTATTTGCAAAACACTGATTTGGATAAATAATTGAGCAGTTTCTTGTATAATTGAGCTTTATTGTGAAAGATTGTGAGGTAATAATACTACCAAGCTTGAACTAGAAATTTTATTCTTTGGTTTCACAAACCAAAAGATATTCTATATTAAAATTTCTATATTAAAATTCTTATCCCTGCCAGGCATCAGTGGCACACACCTGTAATCCTAACTACTCAGGAAGCTGAGCTCTGAGGATTGTGGTTCAAAGCCAGCCTGGGCAGGAAAGTCTGTGAGTCTTATCTACAATGAACCACCAGAAAACTGAAAGTGGTGCTGTGGCTCAAGTGGTAGAGTCCTGGCCTTGAGCTGAAGAGCTCAGCTCAGGGAGAACGCCAAGGCCCAGAGTTCAAGCCCCATGACCGACAAAAAAAAAAAAAAAAAAGTAGTAGTTTAGGCGTTTGTAGCAGTAGTGGAAAAAAGAAGAAACGAAGGTGAAACATTTCCTAGAATGATCTGTATACTAGCTCTCTTTGCACAGTCCTGGTTGTTTTTATTATTATTATTTCTATGCTTTAGATGAATTTCCTAGCTATTTATTTTCTATTGTAAGTTATATCCATCATGCTTATCCAGCGATTTGTTCAAGACCATTTTGTTCTATGGCATTCCTCAATTCACTCTGTTTTTAGCTGTTACTCGTATGTCTTTATTGGTAATTTGGCAATTGTCTATGAATTTATTGTAATCTTTACAAATATCTTCTGTTTCACTTCATGGCTATGACTGCTTTACACTTTTTCATACTACCTAACAACTGGAGTGGCTAAGATTTCCATCATTTGAAGTCAGTTCTGTGTTTAAATTCCAGCTCGCCATTTCATTTACTGGTTATCTGAGTATAGGCAAATTAACCTGTCTAAGCCTCAGTTTTTTTAATCTACAACTTTGTGTTACTGTTATTTGTTTTGTTTTGTTTTTGTGCCTATACTGGGGCTTGAACTCAGAACCTGATGTTCTCACTTGGCTTTCGCTTTACCACTTGAGCCATATCTCCACTTCCAGACATAACTTCATTGTTCTTAAAATTAACATGAATGTAGACTGTGCTTAACACATTTAACCATTGAAGTTACTGTTTTATTTGATTATTTGATATTGATCTTCACTTCAGTTTCCAGGAATATGGATCTACCGGAGCAGCCCATGCTGATAGTGAATATGAGAGAAGAATGATGTCTGTATATAATCATGTCTTGGAGGAGGTAGAATCACTCAATCGAAAATATACTCCCGTTTCTTATATGGCAAGTTATATTCATTCTGCTGAGTTTTTGTTACTCTGACGTAAGGTTTCATAAGTTACATTCATTCTGTTGAGTTTTTGTTACTCTGACATAAGGTTTCTTTTTTTTTATTAATCTTTGATAATTATTAGGTGAGCCTAACAAATTAACGTCTTGCCTGTTTAATTATCAGGAGAACAGGGTTGATATAACACCTGCCTCATAGCATTGAAGGATTAAATGGGATGGTCTGTTATACCACTAGGTATATCTCTGTTACAAAGCCACAGTGACATTTAAAATCTCTACTCAGATGGAGCCAAGCTTTTTAAAAATAAAATGCATCAAGTCAGGCACCGGTGACTCTTCACTAGTCATCCTAGATGTATGTGTGTGAGGCTGAGATCAAGGTCACAATTTCAGACTGGTCTAGGCATTAAAATCCACAAGATCCAAGCTGGTCTGATATCTGCCAGTCATTCCTAGCTACATCAAGAAATGAAAAGCAGGAAGAATACAGTCTAGGTGTAGCAAGTGCTAAAAGTGGCTGGAGGCATGCATGAGTGGTGGAGAACCTTGGGAGAGTGGAGAAAGGGGGTAGGAGGAGGAGAGAGAGAAGAGGCAGAGGCAAGAAATCTGGTTTCTTTTCCTCTTCTACAATAACTCTAATCCCTTCCTTTTTTTTTTTTTTTGGTCAGTCATGGGACTTGAATTCTGGGCCTGGGTGCTGTCCCTCAGCTCTAAAGCTCAAAGCTAGCGCTCTACCACTTGAGCCACAGCACCACTTCTGTCTTTTTCTGAGTAGTTTATTGGAGATAAGGGTAAGGGTCTCATGGATTTTCCTGCACAGGCTGGCTTTGAACCCTGATCCTCAGATCTCAGCCTCCTGAGTAGCTAGGATTACAGGTGTGAGCCACCAGCATCCAGCTCTAATCCCTTCTTAACAGCCTGTCCTCTACATACCATGTTGGAGGTTAGAGCTTCAACACTGTATATGAACTTAAGAGGATACAGAAATTCAATCTATAATAGCCATTCTTTGAACTTTGGGGCCTGGAGAGTTTCTCTTCTGCTCATACATTAGCTCTCCTGGCTTCTGCTCTTTTTTCTGTACTCTCATCCTTAGTCATGTGTTTTAGAAGAACGTAGAAAAGTTGTTTCTACCCTAAAGAGATAGATTAGATCTAGGAGTGAATATCCTCCTTGACATTATGCTTTTCATGTAAAAGTTGTTGTAGTATTTGTTGAATTGATACAGCCTGTTTGACATTGAGATTGGTTGCTAGGGGAGATTGTGAAACTAAGTGCTATCCTGAGAAATTAAATAGATGCTGAACAATAACTTCCTTTTGTAGTTGAATATAATAGAGAGAATGAGACGTTTCTGTCCAGGATGAAATAGAGAAAAGAACCCTGGTTCACACAGGTTCAGATCTCCCCCTCCCCCCAATTTTGTTTTTTTTTTTGACAGGGGAAGGGAAGGAGTACTGGGGTTTGAACTTGGGCTTCTGGGTTGTTCAGCTGTTGTTCTACCACTTGAACCATATCTCTACCCCTGATTTTTGCTGATTATTTTGGAGATGGAATCGCAAACTTTTCTTCCCTGACTGACTTAGGACCTCAGTCCTCTAATCTGAATAGCTAAGACTTGATGAGCCACCAATATGCAGTCTTGGTTCAGATTCTTGCTCAGCCAAGCTCTATGACTTTGGATAAATTACTTAATGTTCATTTATATGAGATGGGAAAACCTACCTCATAAGATTATTAGGAACTTTAATGAAATAATTCTTCTTAATGTCTAACAGTGCTTGGTATAATTGTAGCTACTAATTAATAAAATATTAATTTCCTTTTCTCTTTCTAAACTGCATTTTATATTCTGAGCCCCCAAGTGTAGCTCAGATAGGCATTTATTGAGTCTTAGGAATAGGAAAATGACCAAGACATAACCTTTCCTCAAGTTGTCTGTGATCTTAAGAAGGAACAACACATGTACCTAAGTAGAGTTTTTGTATAAGGTAGAGATATAACACAAAAGAGAAGTTTGCTGGTTTAATGTGGAAATAATTTGACCAGCACTGCCAAAAAAGAAAGAGAGAAGCAAAAGTAATTCTTGTGAAAGATTGGTTCCACCAGAGCTATGATGAATCTACCACATGCTTCCCAGAATCCTTAGTTCAGGAGGATGTGTAGTGCTGCTTTAGCAATAAAACTCACCTGCCTGAAACCAGTAACAAATGGATTTTTCCATCTTTTTTCCATAATGCCCAATTTTTTAAAGCCATGTGTACAGCATGAGCAACTAGAGGGCACTCTACCCTGCCTTTACTGTCTAGTGGTTTTCAATCTGCAGTGGTTCTGGGGGTAGGAACAGGGCATAGAGATTGCAGTAGACTGAGGAAGGCATAGTACATAGAATGGTACTGATTTATCCCAAGCTAAAAACATTCTGATGTGGCTTTAATTTACTTTTGTCTATTTTTAAATCACTGATGGAATAGCACATAGTCACTAAGAAGTCAGGCAGCCCAAGTTCTAGTCCCACTTTGTTCCATTTCATAGCTGTGATCTTTTTCATTAATAAACTGGAAAGTTAGCCTGGGTAACCTTCCCTTTTATTTTATTTATTTATTTATTTATTTTTGAGACAGGATCTCAAGACTGAGCTCATAATCCTTCTGCCTCAGCCTCTTGAGTGCTGTAATTATAGGCATGCACCACCACACCAGGCTTTCTTTGAACCCTTGAGTTATATGACCTCTTTCACTTAAATTCAGTGGTTCTGTTCCTCTGAAGTTATGCTGAGATTATCAAAACTCACGAGTGAAATCAGCTTTAGAAATAAAGTATTTTATGAAAGTTTCACAATCCCATAAAAGCATAATTACAAATAGCAACTAAAGATTAAAATTATCTTTAATCTGAATTCTAGTCAGTTTGTACCATTGCTTACTCTGGGCATCATAGCTATTGGGACAAAGAAGCTAACTTGTAGAGATGAGATGAAAGAATAAACTCTCTCAAAGCCAAGATTCTGTAGGGATCTGGTTCCTTTACCATACTCTTTGTTATACTCTGCTCTATGATAGTTGTTCTGTATTTTAGTATCTAAAATGATCCAGTAATACTGTGTTTAAGCTGGCTCATGCCTGTAGTCCTAGCTAAGATCTGAGGACTGGTTCAAAGCCAGCCTGGACAAGAAAGTTCGTGAAACTCTTATCACCAGTTTATAACCAAAAAAAACAGAAGTGGGGGCTGGGAAGGTGGCTCAGTGCTAAAGTGCTTGCCTTGCATGCATGAGGCCCTGGGTTTGGTTCCTCAGCACCATATAAGCAGAAAAAAGCCAGAAGTGGCACTGTGGCTCTAGTGGTAGAGCGCTAGCCTTGAGCTGAAGAGCTGAGGACAGCTCCCAGGCCCAGAGTTCAGACCCCACAACAAACAACAACAAAAAACCAGAAGTGGATTTGGCTCAAGTGGTAGAGTGCTAGCCTTGAGCACAAAAGCTCAGGGACAGCACCCAGGTCCTAAGTTCATGCCAGAACTGCTTGGCCTTGAGCAATGTGGATTTCTTCCCATTTGTGATTTATTTTTTGTGGAATACAGTTCAAGATAATGTAATAATCTATAATTCTTGACATGAATGAGTGAACCGGTATACATCCTGAATGTTGTGCATATTGCTTATTGATAGGAACTTTTATGATAATTTCCAGCATACACAATTTTAAATACCTTCCTGAATGTACGATTTGTTGATGAAATTCGAAAACTTACTCTATTTTTGTTTTCCTCAGCATACAGCATGCCTCTGCAATGCCATCATTGCCTTGCTGAAAGTACCCCTTTCATTTCAGAGATATTTTTTCCAGAAACTGCAGTCTACCAGCATCAAGGTAATATAGGAAGACAGTTAACGTTAACATATGTTGAGGGCTGGGAAGGTGGCTCAATGGTAGAGCGCTTGCCTTGCATGCATGAGGCACTGGGTTCGGTTCCTCAGCACCACATAAGCAAAAAGAAAAAAGCGGGAAGTGGCGCTGTGGCTCAAGTGGTAGAGCGCTAGCCTTGAGCTGAAGAGCTGAGGGACAGTGCCCAGGCCCAGAGTTCAGGCCCCATGACCAGACCTAAAAAAAAAACAACAAAAACATATGTTGAAACAAAAAAACATCTATCATTAATTATATAGGACATAGCTATACTTCAGGATCTTAACTTGGGTTTTAACAAAATTTGTAAGTTTAGTTGTATGCTTTTCTTCCCTTTAACAAATGATTTGGTGAAGGCAGTGGTATTTGAAAGCTAAACTCCCTTTTAAACTTTTGTTGCTAAATATATGGAGACATACATTTGAGTAACTGGAGATAGTCCATTGTCACTTACCTCTAGCAGTAAGTTGGTGATTTTATCATAATCATCCAGAAAAATCTTGAACTGAGTCTGTCTGACCAAGCTATTCAGACCCAACTTAGACTGAAGCAGGTCCAATAAAATATTACCGGTCCTACCTTCAAAGTTCTTTTGTCTTTTGAGTCATAAGTTTTGAGGAACTGGCCAAATAACTAGAGTTACTTTGTGAAATCATTTAAACCACTGGTGGCTCTTGCTACTTAAGAGGCTGAGAGCTGAGGATTGAAGCCAGCTGGGGCAGGAAAGTCTGTGAGACTCCTATCTCCAGTTAACTACCAAAAAACTGGAAATGGAGCTGTGGCTCAAGTGGTAAAGCCCTAGACTTGAGTGGAAAAAGTTCAAGGACAGCACCCAGTTCAAACCCCACTACCAGCACCATTTAAAAAAAAAAAATCAGAAGGACTGAAAGGTATAGCCCAAATATTAGAATGTTTGAGAACCAAAGTTTAACCTCCAAAAAATCTGTTTTTGAAACTTAGAATGTTGGAAAAGGAGTGGATTTTCACTTCTAAGAGATTTCCTGAATTATCCTTGTCACTTGCTGTCTTCAGTGAACTTTTGCCCTCATACAGATGTTTTTGGTTAAAAATAACCAAATTCCATTTCAAAATGACTAATCAGGAAAATTAGTTATCTAGACAAGAATTTATCCTAAAGCATATTGACTCCAGGGTTGATTAGTTCAGTGGCTCAACAATATTATCAGTAACTCAATTTTTTTTTTCATCTAGCAAGACTTGAGCTTTCTGCAATTGAAATATATTTGGGACTTTAAATGTTTTCTTTTTAAATTTAATTTTTTTAAGAAAAACAGTTGTATTTGTTTAACATACAGAAGGCCTTAGGTTCAGTTCTCAGTGCCACCGACCAAAACTCACGGAAACTTACTTTGTGGAAATTTACATTGTTATATCATGACTTCATTATGCAAGTAATCCTAGCGTCAGTGTTCATTTGCATTTGAACTTAGTCTATTCTAAATTACCTAAGAGTATAGAGACAGCAGCTAGACATGAACATTTCAGTACATTTCCTACTGAAAGAGATTCATTGTCAGTGAAAGTTCTGCCACAAACCCTGACAGAGCAGTGCCTTAGCTTGTCTCTAATTCTCTTGCCCTTGAACAAAACTGAAGTCTGGGATAAAAAGCTCTATAGTATTTAAGAGACAAAAGGCATAAGGAAGTTGGGCTTTGAAGATCTTTCTGCCTAGTTATCCCAACATGGGTATAGTGGGGTGCTTAGGCCACTGTGTTAGTTATTACCAGTGGTTAGCAGAAGGAAGCTTGCTCTAGGTTATTGGCCATTTATTTGATGTTTGCATTCCAGCTTGCACTGTCTCCATCCCCTCGGAATCCTGCAGAACCCATTGCCGTACAGAATAACCAGCAGCTGGCGTTAAAGGTAGAGGGAGTGGTTCAGCACGGGTCTAAACCAGGACTCTTCCGCAAAATTCAGTCCGTCTGCCTGAATGTTTCTTCTACACTACAGAGTAAATCAGGACAAGACTACAAGGTAATTTCAAAAACCAGCAAAATTATGATACAGGTTTTACCAGCTTAGTTTGCCAGTGTTCTTTTATTATTAAGCAGGTGGCAATTTTGCCTCCAGAGGGATCAGATGAACATAAAAGCAGGTAATGGGGTTTGAGGAGACTTCCCTTTCCTCTGCCCAGATAATCTAGGCAGACAAGAGATCCAATAATGATTTTAATTACTTTTAGAGCTATAGAGGCAACTAACTCAGGTGTGTAACTTTACAGAATAAAGATGGGGATTGGGATGTAGGGAGGAGAGAACATGGAGAGAGGCCAGCCTGTGAAGGGGTTGAAAGGCTCTGGGAGCTTATTCTGATCAAGGAGAGATAAGTGGCAATGTCAGTTCATTGTTGGGCCAGTAGACCCAAGTGAGCCCACCTGAGTGCACATTCCAGCTCTGCTTTATTATCACCTTGGGCAACTTACTTAACCTCTCGGTCTTAGTCTCCTCATCTAAACAGCAAGGATGATTGATAATAGTACCTTGTATCTTTGTTGTTTGCAAGGACTAAACCGAGTACCTAGAACAGGAGCCTCTGAATGAATGTAGCTACTGTTATTCAATTCATTCATTGCAGATACCCATTGACAATATGACCAATGAGATGGAGCAGAAAGTTGAGCCTCATAATGATTACTTCAGTACCCAGTTCCTGTTGAACTTTGCTATCCTTGGAACACATAACATCACAGTGGAATCCTCAGTGAAAGACGCCAATGGCATTGTATGGAAGACTGGCCCCAGAACTACCATATTTGTCAAATCTCTGGAAGATCCTTACTCCCAACAGATTCGCCTACAACAGCAGCAAGCCCAGCAACCCTTACAGCAGCAGCAGCGCAATGCCTACACGCGGTTTTAACCATGCCATGCACACACTGCAGACTTCCAAGGGATTGATCAAACTGACTGAAAAGGTTTGCTTTTTCATATTAAGTATGAAAGTTATCATGTGAAGTCCACTTACTCATTGATTTCTGCAGTGTAACATTCTGGGGGGAAAATTCTCCTTTAAATTTTTTTTTTTTTTTTGTCGGTCATGGGGCTTGATCTCTGGGCTTGGGCGCTGTCCCTGTGCTCTTCAGCTTAAGGTGAACATTCTACCACTTGAGCTACAGCACCACTTCTGGTTTTCTAGTGGTTTATTGGAGATAAGAGTCTCACAGGCTTTCCTGCCCGGGCTGGCTTTGAACCTTGATCCTCAGATGTCAGCCTCCTGAATAGCTAGGATTACAGGCATGAGCTACCAGTGCCTGGCTTCCTTAAAAAAAAAAAAAAAATTTTTTTTTGGGTCCGGTTGTGGGGCCTGAACTCTGGGCCTGGGTGCTGTCCCTCAGCTCTTCAGCTCAAGGCTAGCGCTCTACCACTTGAGCCACAGCACCACTTCCGGCTTTTTTCTTTTTGCTTATGTGGTGCTGAAGAATTGAACCCAGGGCCTCAGGCATGCAAGGCAAGCTCTCTACCACTGAGCCACCTTCCCAGGCTCCTTAAAATTTTTTGAGAAATTATTTTGAAAAATAATTGGTTTCCTGTCCCAAAAGATTTTATTTTCTTGTTTCCTTCTAAAGGAAGTCCTTTATTTTATATTTAACATTTTTATTTTATTGCTGTTCCTTTGTTTTTGGGTTTTTTTGGGTGGTGGTGGTTGTTACTGAGTGTGTACTTTTTCTTCTCCTTTTAAGAATAGTCACATATTGAGGTGACTGGATTAGTAATTTGATTGCCTCACTACCAAACTACAAGGCTTGCTGCTTGACATCCACCTGGAATGCTAAGCTAGGCATGGGGAAATGTGACCAGTCCACACAGGGTTTGCTGTGGTAGTAGTCACGCCATAGGCTCCAGAGCATGAGGAGGCCTGCAGTCTAGCAGGATTGAAACATGCTACTGCATTGTTTTAACTACTTACCTGTCTCTTCCTGTACTACACCAATCTTAATTTATTTATGTTTAGTATTTAATAGACTCACAGAGCAGCTAGCAATTACATAGAAAAATTGCAAGTTAATTTGCTGTATTTTCTGATATTTGTGTGGTTAATATATACTTTTTCCATTGTTTCTACAAGTGGGGAAAAAATCACGTTTATTCTCTTAATGTTTTAAGTTAAAAGGGACAACTCTTTAGTTATTACTTGACAAGGTATGTGATGTTAGATTGGATTGTGTGGAAGGAACAATCTCTTTAACCTCAATCTGTTGGGATGCTCAGGGAATATAATTTTCTGGCTAGCCAGAAAACCCCTTTTTTTCTATTACAATATTGGTTGAAAACCATATAACATACTTTCTTGTCTTAACACACTATAGCAGGTATTAACATAACTGTTTCTGAAGATCATTAAGTGCTAGGGCATCATGAATTCTGAACTTTAGGGTGCTGGCAGGATTGCAGATATTGATAATAGTTAATTGGGCTGGATGCAGCTGCTAATATGAAGAAGGTACATTCCCTGGAATTTCCCCCTTTTAAATAAATCTCCCAATTTCTTTGCTTGTGTTTTAACTTTTTCTTATCAAGGTCACATGGATTCAAAGGAGGTCTAGAGTTCAAGTTTTAGCAAAAGGAGTTGTTTGTTTTTATATTTTTGGTTTTCAAAAACTTGTCTTTTAACCTCTAGGAACAGGAAGTAATGGCAATTCTGGTCCCTTCAAGATCACTTGGGTTGATGAACAATATATGGCCCCATTGTGAATAATAGTACACTATGCTGTCCTGTCCAGATATCTTCATAAGCAAGTCTTTGGGGTCCACTGTAGATCACATCTCTATAGAAGCCCACCAGTATCTTTGGTGAGCATCTAGGAACATAAGATTTGGGGAAAATAACCAGAATGGTAAGGAAGAAGCACAGAATTCTTTGTCCTTTTTGGTATGGAAAGAGCTGAATCAAAAGCCTGGGTTCTTGGGGCTGGGAAGGTGGCTCAGTGGTAAAGCACTGAGTGCTTTGCATGCTTGAGGCCCTGGGTTCGATTCCTCAGCACCCATAAGCAAAAAAAAAAAAATGCCAGAAATGGCGCTGTGGCTCAAGTGGTAGAGCGCTAGCCTTGAGCTGAAGAGCTGAGGGGCAGCGCCCAGGCCCAGGGTTCAGGCCCACGACCGGACCCAAAAAAATAAAAAAAAATAAAAAAGCCTGGGTTCTACTTTTGGCTCTGATGATTTAACTCTTTGATCTAGGGCAAGTCACTCTACCACTCTCTAAAATTATTTTCTTTGTAAATCACCGAGTTAAGACTAGATTTCTTCAAGCATTGCAGTATCAGGTAGCCCAAAAACTAAAAATGAAAAATTGGAAAAACTTGTTTTATTTTTTTATTTTTGGAAAAACTTTTTTGAAGCTTTTTTTTTTTTTTTCTGTCAGTTGTGGGCCTTGAAATCAGGGCCTGGGTGCTGCCCCTAAGGTTTTTTACTCAAGGCTAGCACTCTACCACTACACCACTTTGAGCCACAGCTCCACTTCCAGTTTTCTAGTGGTTAATTGGAAATAAGAGTGTCACAGACTTTCTGCCTTTGCTGCCTTGAAACTGCGATCCTAAACTTCCTGAGTAGCTAAGATTATGGGTGTGAGCTTTTTTTTTGTAGCTTTTTGTAGCTTGATTAAACCTAGAGCCTTCCACATGCTAAGCATCACTCTACCACTGAGCTATACTTTGACATCAGTTCCTGGAAAGTCTTTATTTTTTAATTAAGTAGCTAATATTACAGTGTGGATTTCAGGTTTCTGGAACTTTCAAAGTAGAATTATCTAAAAAAGGAACAAATTTAGAAAGCCACCAATTCCTTTGAGACCTTCCCAGATTTTGTGTCCTTAAAAGACTTTTGTTAAGTATGAAAATTCTGACTTAGTGTACTACAGGACCCCTGGTACAAATTTGGGAATGAATTATTAAGAACAAATTCAAATATTTCAGAGTATGAAAGTAACCATGCAACAAAAAAAAGTATGTTATTTAGACACAAGGACAGAATTCTGATTTTATATTCAGTATAATTACTGTATTCTTTTTGCATCAGTTTTTTCTTGAGGGGGAGGAGCTGTTTATCATTTCAATACCACAATTAATGAAAGGAAAAATTACTCAAGGAAAGACAAAAGATAAACATTCTAAATTATGAAATAAGCATGTTCCAAAAATTTAGAAATATGGATTATAAAAAGCACTGGTTGAATCTAAGAAGACAGGGCTATTTGTTCTTAATGTATAGTGACTTTAATGTAGCCTAAAAGCTGATGGGACAACCCTTGAAGCCACACTACCCAGGTCAAACTTTAGCTGTACCTAATTTTGTGAGGTTGGACAAGCTACTTAAAGGGCATCCTTTCCTTACTGTATCTCAATAATAGGAAAATAGTGTTTTAAGGGTAGGTATAACACAAATCCTTCCTGCCCCCAGCAGACAAATGTATTTGCTGTTATAATTATTGCTAGTATCATTATCCTATTTTTCAGTCTTAGGTCAGTTCTTAAACTTGGCATTTTATCTCTTCCAAATAAAAAGTTACTTTTCCCCTACTACTAACTATATTCAAATTATCTTTCTTTATGCCCAGTCTTAGCAAAATAGCAAAAATAATGCTGGCCTAACAAAAACACAATTTTTATTAGAAATCATTAAAATATTTCAAGGTAAACATACAAAGAAAATTATGTAAAATACTTTCATGCTAGTTTCCTTCAATGATGATAGCAATAGTGTATTGACCATATAGAGATTAAAATACTGTTGAACTTCACCTCACACCAAGAGATCTGATGTGCCCTATCTAGCTCCAACTAACCAAGATGGCAGGTAATTTATAGTTGGAGGCTATATCAAAGTCACTCTTCTGTGAAGAACTAACCAACCAAAGAAGATCTGCATATCCTTGCAATGACCTCGTAAATTCTGTTTATAAGAATTAATGCACCATGGATCCTTAAGTAGGTCACTGGTTTAATAAATGCCAGCAGAATATTGGGGGATATAACTCAGGCAGGAGAATGCCCAAGGGCCGTGAGTTCAATTTCCAGTATTCTTTCTCCCTATCGCCCCCCACAAGAAAAGATAATTCCAGAACTATAGTTTGATTCAAAGAAGGGATTGTTGAAAAAGAAGATGAGCTGCCACTTGGTATATGGAGTATAAGCAGCACTGGCCAATAGAACTTCCTGCGGTAATGAAAATGGTCGTAAGACTACACTGTCCAATAGAGCCCATCACTTTTTTTTTTTTTTTTTTTTTTTGTCGGTCGTGGGGCTTGAACTGTGGGCCTGGGCACTGTCCCTGTGTTCTTCAGCTCAAGGTGAGCACTCTACCGCTTGAGCCAAGGCACCACTCCTGGTTTTCTAGTGGTTTATTGGAGATAAGAGTCTCATGGAGTTTCCTGCCCGGGCTGGCTTTGAATGGTGATCCTCAGATCTCAGCCTCCTGAGTAGCTAGGATTACAGGCGTGAACCACCGGCGCCCGGCTAGCCCCTAACTTCTGTGTACAGAAGTACTCACTTTTTAAGACATGGCTAGTATGGTGAAAATGGAATCTTTCATTTACTGTTAGTTCTGTTGAATACCTTTGTGTAGCTACTGCCTATAATATGGGATGGCATAGGGAATGAAAGAAGAAGCAATGAGGACTTTTACTTTAAGACCTAGATAAAACCCTCAAGTAGGCCACTAGATGAGGCATTGAAATCGTTCGATGTACTACAGGTTCCACATGGAAGCGTATAGCTAACAGTGGATTGGGTAATGCAATCCTGTGTGGCCCAACAAAACCCTGTTCTACAGTGCTGGATTTAGCTTCTATCAATCAAACTGAAAGTACACAATGGGACGTGTGAAAGTCTGAAGGTCTGGAGAGTTGGCTTAGATTTCCTACCAGCAGCACCTCACAGGAGCTTATCACCTGCCCTTTTAATTCTTGCCCAAGAGTACCTTTAACATCAGAAGCTGTGCCTTACTGGCCCTGCTGGAACCAGTCCACTTGCCTATGGTAGATCTCAGTACAGTAAACTATGAGCAACTGAGTTTTGAATTACAGTTATGATTAAAACAGAGCAAGACACATTTCTAAGGGTAAGGAAACAACCCCAAATGAATTAGAAAAATCAGGAAAATGAGAAAACTCAGGAAATTCCCAGAGGTCAGGATATGTCAAAGAAAGCAGGTATGTAAAGAAGAAATACTACTTTCTCAACTCCCTTTAGGTTTCTTTTTTTTCTTTTCTTCCTTTTTTTTTTTTTTTTTTGTCTGGGGCTTGAACTCTGGGCCTGGGCGCTGTCCCTCAGCTCTTCAGCTCAAGGCTAGCGCTCTATCAATTGAGCCACGGCACCACTTCCGGTTTTCTGGTGGTTTGTTGGAGATAAGAGTTTCACGGACTTTCCTGCCTGGGCTGGCTTTGAACCAAGATCCTCAGATCTCAGCCTCCTGAGTAGCTAGGATTACAGGTGTGAGCCACCAACGCCTGGCTCCCTTTAGGTTTCTTAGAGATGTTACTTGTGATGTGTGTGTGTGTCTGTCTGTGCATGTATCTGTGTGTGTGCACATGCACATGAACCACAGCTCTGCTTCCACGTTTTGAGTAGTAGATTGGTAATAGAGTCTCACGGACTCCTACATGGGCTGGCTTCAAAACTGTAACCCACAAATCTCAGGCTCCTGAGTAGCTAGGATTATAAGCATGAGCCACCAGCATCCAGTGTCACTTGTGAATTTTAATGAAGCTTATTTGTGATAGTGAATCAAGTGTTTAGATGATTAGGAACCCTCACAATAGGACTAAATTAGATTGAGAATTAGGAAAGGTTACCAGTGCCTAGAGCCTCTGTGTCCTAAGATCTGTCTGAGAAGTGAAACAGTGGAGCTAATGAGGCTTTCTGCTTCCATCACCTCCTGATGACATAGAAGGAGTGAGCTGAGCAGGGTGAACTGTTAACACTTGTATCCCCACACCCTTGTTTTTTTGTCCCTACCCACCAGCAAGTGCAGATGCCATGTAATAGGGAGAGCAGCTCCCATCCTGCTGTGAGCTGCGTATAACCAGGCTTGATCTGAAGATGGGAGAATCCACGGAAGACCCCTCAAAGTTGTGTAGTCTCCTGATGGAGCCAGCCCTCTCCTGTCAGAGAACATAGAGAACGTGTTTATAATAAAAGCTGAGAAATGAAGCACAAAAACATGCCACCTCTGGGTTTTCTTTTTTGTCCTAGGAATTGAACTTGGGCTCACTAGGCAGGTCCTCTGTCACCTCAGACACAATCCCGCACATGTTCTAAACAGTTGTTTTTTTTTCAGTAGTTATGGGATTTAAGATCAGGGCATTGTACTTGCTTACCAGGGGCTCTATCCTTGTCTTCTGAATCTTGATATTATCCTTTAGTAGCAAGCAGAAGGGAAATAGAGTAATTAGGAAAACAGACTTTTTGCAACACTTAAAATGCCTATGTCCCAGCCTGCCAGTGGTGGCTCATACCTGTAATCATAGCTACTCAGGAAGCTGAGATCTGAGGATCAGGGTTTGAAGCCTGTCTGGTCAGAAAAGTCCCTGTGAGACTATCTCCAATTAACCACTCAAAAAATGGAAGTGGTGCTGTGGCTCAAGTGGTAGAGCCCTAACCTTGAGCACAAAGAGGGTCAGGGACGAGCGCCCAGACCCTGAATTCAAGTCCCACAACTGACAAAACAGACACAAAAACACACCCATGTCCCTTCTTGGTCGCTACTAGGCATGATCAGAGAGGGGAGAAGGGAAAAAAGGCAAGTTCCTGAAGAGTAAGCTGCGTGACCTCAAGGAACTGGAGTTCATACTCAAAACTTAAAATGTATTGCTGCTGCTTTGGCCGGGCCATCGCGTGACTCAAAATGCCTCAGTGTCACATTCCAAGAGACCAGGGACATTGAGAAAGAACTGTAATCACGGAATCACTTAAGCCGCATCAGCTCTTTCCTACTCAGTGGTTATTTTGTCCCCTGGGATGCTCAAAAGTGTATTAGTCCTGGCTAGGTTTGCCGTCTCGGCGAAGGAGTACCTCTGAACTCTCCTTGAGAGCCCTTGACATAGGAGAACACAGAGTCTCAAGCGCTACCCCAGCCTCCACACCCACATCCACCCCTGCCCAAATGGCTGATGGAAAACATTTCCTCATCCTGAGTGCTCAAGGTAAGTCAGCTGACATTACAGCCCTGCGGCTCTTCAGCATTTGTCTGAGCCGGAGCTTGTGAGCTTGGTCGTAGCCAGATCCATGCCAAAGGCACAGCCAGCAAGGCCACACAGTTTAGACTCCATCAGGTGACTTACCAGGCACTGGGAATGGAGATGGCACATTCTGTGTGTGCCACTGGTTCTCACAGAGACTGGGGTGAAGGCTGATGATGAAACCCTGCTGGATGAGCCTGAGCTGATTCGGTGTCTGATGAGTTTCACCAGGGAAGAAAGAAGAAATAGGCTTTTCCATGGCTGCCTTAAACCTGCTACAGGTCTCTGTTGGAGGGAGATGGAAAACTCAAAACCCTGTCAGAGAGAAATAGCTCTGATCAGAGCGTGGTCGTTTATAACTCTGAACTGTTACACAGTGAAAAAGCACTTGACCTTCCAGCCCTGCAGAAATACCCTCAGACCAGTCCATCCAATTGTCTCTGCCCTTTGTGTACCTCTGACCCAATACACATTCAATGTTGCGTACAGCGACCTAGACACGTGGTGGAAGATGTCACCATGTCCTGCTCATAGGAACAGTTTGCTCCTTTTAATATTCCCTGCTCCACGGCAAACCCCCTGGTTATTTTCTGTGTCAGTACTGGGGATTGAGCTCAGGGCTTGACATTCACCGTGCCTTAGCATTTTGGTTCAAGGTTAGCACTCTACCCACTGAGCCACAGCTCTACTTCCATCCCTGTTTTCTGAGCATTCCTCATACCTCTGAGCTGTGGTTTCATCTGTCAAAAGGAGCTAGTAAGTGCCCTGTTCAAGAGTGGTGAAGACTAAAGATAACACATACAGCCTGGTACCTGGCTGGTGCCCACCAAATGTTGGTCAGATCCCTTCGAGGTGAAGTGTGTGGGCCCAGACAGCATCTGGGCAAGAAATGTCCTTTTAAGACAGGTTTGTGGTCAGCTCTTGCCTCTGAGAAGAGTAACGTTCCAGGTCATTAGAGGACCAGAATTTCACAGACTCAAGAACTCCTTTTGGTGTCTGTCACACAGTCTTCCTGACCAACACAAGTCCAGAGCTGAGCTGAGGCTGGAAGAAGTAAGGGAAGCAAAACCAGCACAGTGAGCCATGTGCTAACCAATCAGAACTTGTTCCCTACTTATTGGGTATTGGAGAGTCAGCCATGCCCCTCACCTTCCAACCCCAGAACTGGGGTTTAGGAGGGGTATGAGGAAGGACTTGGTGAAATAGGAAAATAACCATATGCTAAAGGAAAGAGGTGGTATGAGAACTATTAAGGGCCTTAGAACAGGAGGTCTGTCCAGCCACAGGGGGGCATTGCCAGAGGGCCTCTGGAGGCAGTTGGATGGGTCATATGACCTCTTGGCGCCATTCCCTTAGAATCACATGGTGGTCACAGCTGCAGGCTCCCTACTGAGGGTTTTGCCTGGGAGATGGGGTGTGGGCCTGCTCCCCACTGAACACAATTCCTCTGATAGAAGACTCTGGCTGTGCAGCTGCAGATATAAATAACCCCTGTCCTTTGAGCAAATGCCTCCAGCATGGCCTAGAATGGGATGGAGGGAAGAGAAGGGCTCAGAGAAGTGTTGGGGTAGACTGGGGTCAAAGCTGACAGCTGAGAACGGAATGAGGGTGAAGAGGCTGTTTCTCTCACCTCATACGTGTCTGCGTGTTTCTATGAGATATGTGTCCAGGCAGAAGCTGCCCTACTTTGGAGGCCAGGAGGCCCTGTCCTTCCCAGCATTATCCCTTGCTGTTCCCACGACCGACCTCCTAGCTCACAACCTACGATCTTCCTGGAATATTGCTTCCGCTTCCTGGTTTCCTTGCTACTCCTTTTGGTCTCCTCAGAATAAACTACTTCCATTGTTTCCCAGTTTTTTAAAACAAAAACCATGCTCACTTTGATCCTGATAGAGTCTACATCCTTCCATCTGCCACTGAAGACCCTGCCCACTGACACCCCAGCCTAACAGCCAAGCTCATCCCTGGACACCCCTATGTGTATAACCCAGACTGCAGGCAAGTTAGCTTCCTGGACATTCTGCGAGCTTGGTTTGCACATTCTCACCTTTGTGGCTTTGTGTTTTGCCTTCCACCGAAATGCTCTTTCCTACAGCACGCACACACACACACACACACACACACACACACTTTCTATCCCTCTGTATGCTGGTTCTTTAGCCAGGTAGAATAGCTTATATCACATTCAACCTTATCTGAAGTGGCCAGGCTTGCCAGCCCTTAAGATTGGCATCACTGTGGACCACTGGTGGCCAACATTACTATATCCTGTCAGTGGGATCAAAGAGCTCCCTCCACTGTCCCATGTCCCTCTGTTGGCCAGGCAGCTCTGCCTCCAACCTTTGCTCTCATCCCTGCTCGCAGTGGCCCTGACTGATCAGCCTACTGATGGTACCCCATTCATCACCTCAGCCAGGCAGAGACTAAACTGCCTCCAGGTTCTGAGTGTTGAGCAGAGAAATGGTAGAAGCATGGCCCATGGTATCACAGAGGCCCAGTGGAGCTCTAGAGTCGCCAAGCCTGTGATCTGAGGTCTGAGGTGAAAAGGACTGGTTAAGGCTTGGAAGAAAATTATTATTTTTTAAGAGACTTTATTATCTCTTGAGTCTTCCTCGCCATCTCCTGCAACAGAATCACCATAAGAATTTTGAGAACGCTGTTTTTGGGGTGATTTGGGCTTCAGTGTCCAGCTAGGTCTTCCTCATTCATCCTTCACCTCCCCTTTCCTTTCTCTCTGGTTCTTCATGGATCGATGGGTTATCTGTTACATGCAGGGCCCAGCTGAGTCTCTGTCTGAGGTTCCCTGCTGCCCTGGGTGAAACACTCATTTTTGTGCATTCCTTTTGAGCCCTCCCTGGCACATGATCCTTCCTAGTCAGAGAGATCCTTAGCTCCATGGAGAGAAGTTCAAGGTTAAAGCAACAAGGCAAAAACAAATTCAACAACAGTTCATCTTCTTAACATCCAAAATAAAATACAGAGAATAGGAAGGTTTAGACTAAAGTTGGCTAACTATACCCACTTAGGACATGTTAGATTCCTTGTTCCCTGGGCCTGAGAGGCCTTCGCCAAAGTACAGCCATTTTGGACTTAGATTCCATTGTGAAGGAAGGCCTTTCATTGTGAAGGCCTTTACGGAAAGTATCCATTGTGAAGACTTTTACCAAAAATAATAACTCAGGTTCCTGGAAAAACTGCGGAATGTCCCAATAATGCCCTGCCCATAACTCCCCTAGCAATAGCCATCAGCAGATGACAGGAAGGTACCTAAAGCTCCAGATGCATAGTTAACATAGTTTGCTGCTTAACCGCTTAGCCCACTCAAGCTAGCCAATAAGATTGTTACAAGATTCACTAAGTGCCAACCAATCATGTAAGTTGGAAACCCCCTACCCTTGCTGTAACCATAATAACCCTGCTAAATGGAAGAGTCCAGGCTCGAACTTGCAATAAAGGATTCTTGTGTGCTTGCAGCATCAGAATCGGCTCCTTGGTGGTCTTTGGGGATCCTTATCTGGGCATAACAAGCCTAGGACATTGCATACCTCTGTCATCCTTACATCCTTCATCTCAAACTCAGAACATGAAACAAGGAGACTTAAAATTGAAGCAAGTAATATAACTGCTATAAGGAAGAGACATGGGGCTTTTCTTGTGCTGCAGGAGCATTTGGAAGTTGTGTCTTTGTGTTCTTCACATCCAGCATGGTTCCTGGCACATAATAAGTAGTCAATAAAGTTTACTTAAGGCAGAATTCACTTTCAAATAGCCTACTGTCCATGTAATTGCTTGTCCTAGAAGCTTGGCCCCTGAGAACTGATCGTAAACATTACAGTTATTAATCAATTCCTGCGTCCTCAATCCAATAGCAGATGGCACTGGGCAGGATTGCAAAGACCCAGAATTCCCTGCCATGAACCTAAGCAGCCAAATTCTGTTTATA